CTACAAGTCTTACTTAATTATAATAGGTTACAGGGTACTCACATTTACAAAAACTTAGAAGTTCATCAACAATTAACAACATAGTGTACAATTTAATAATTAAAATCAAAAATTCCTCTAAACATCCTGTGGAGTAGGACCAACTAGCCTCCAAGCATTTTTATCTTGTATATAATCATTTAGTTTGTAGTATGCTAGTTTACATAAATGTTTCTTTATACATAATTTAAATTTGCTTTCATTTAGATTTTGAATTTCAACTGGGATTTTATTATAACATTTAACACAGAAACCCAGAAATGACTTATGCACTTTTGCCAATCTAAATAAAGGCTGACTCAATCTATTCCTATGTCTAGTATGATAATCATGTTTGTCAGATACCTTTACAAATAAGTGTAGGTTTTTCCTAACATACATAATGTTTTCATAAATAAATTGACTCGGTACGGTCAGAATGTTGATCTCCTTAAACTTTTCTCTGAGAGATTCGCGACGACCTAAGTTATATATAGCTCTGACGGCACGCTTTTGCAAGATAAAAATAGACTCAACGTCGGATGCCTGTCCCCACAACAGAATTCCATACGACATGATGCTGTGAAAGTAGCTAAAGTACACTAGTCTTGCCGTGCCTACATCGGTTAGCTGACGGATCTTCCAGACAGCTTAAGCTGCAGAGCTCAATCGTCCTGCTAGAGACCTGATGTGGGGCCCCCATTGCAACTTCTCATCTACAGTGATCCCCAGGAAAGTAGTCTCTTTTACAAATTCAAGTTTCTGATCATTTAATAATATATCATCACATACGTTTCTTTTAACATTTGGTAAAATAAATCTAATGCATTTAGTCTTTTTATCATTTAGTAATAAGTTGTTTATTGTAAACCAATTTTGAACCTTCATTAAGGCATTATTAACTTCGTCATATTTGTTTGTTCGTCTATTTATTTTAAAAATCAATGAAGTGTCATTATATTATTGTCATATGCGGTTCATTTTGGAACAAATGGGGCAGGTCATTCACATAAACTAAAAATGGAAAAGGACCTAATATTGAGCCCTGCGGTACGCCCATAGATACGCTAGCACCCAGTGAGTTTAAGTTGTTAACGTCGTTGTTAACGCTCACAAACACATCAGATTATTGACACAGCGCCTGGCCTGGAGATATGGTGATATCTACCCGACCTGCTAAACGAGCATAATAAAAACTCTGTTTAAGAGCATTGCGAGAATGTAACACATTAGTTAGCTCGTCCTAATGTACATTAACACGCCATCTTAAAACAAGACACGATCACAAGCTCCCCCAACACTGCGTCTTCAGTCCGCCCACAACAAATTCAATTTCCTTTCAGCCTATTGTTTCTCGAAACTGAACCCAATAAATATTATGAATAATTAAAAAAAAACCGCTGAGAAAGGAACAGCAAGGAGAAAACTGCTCTTACAAAATCTATTTATTTCTTATACAAAAATTAATCGAGTCTGTTTATGGAGGAAATCCTCAGAGTACGGTAGAAAACACGTTTTTAATTTACAAACAACTAGACGGCTTTGATGTCGCACAAAAAGAAATTAATTAAAGAAACCGATTTCCAAGCCTCCATTCAGGAAATGAAGTATTGAATTTTTATCCGGTAAGAATAAATCGCAAAGAGCCGATTAGTGAAAATTCCAATTTCAAATCTGTTCGTTTTTTTCTGGCGGCAGTTCGATGTTTATTCAAACTTGGTTCCCAAAAGATTAACACTTCGTTCCACAGTTTGTAATCCAATCAATTGATTACTGGATTCTTGTTCACTTTACCGAGCAAATTGTTATCAGGCGCAAACAGATTATTCTTGGTATAAAAGTGTAGCTGTTGTTCAATTCCTGCTGTTAAAGGTTTGGTTTGCTTGTAGTTAATAATGGAGCTGGTTAGCTGCAAGCGCTTTGCTCCTTTGTCTGCCCAAGATATTGCCACTATCTATCTAGTTTAACGCGAAATGAGTTCTATTTGAGCTTTAATCCTAAATGAATTAGGCACCTGTGACTAGTTCTTGGCTCTTTGTAAACATGGTAATTGGAAATGGAATTAAGAGATAGTTTTCAGTAAATATAGTCCGAAAAATGTACTACATTTGTGAACTTATTATAGATATCGTAAAAAAATATATTCAATTAAGGATACTAACTTTTTATTACATACTTACAAAAAGAGTTTTACTGCTATAAACTAACGCACTGAATATGTTTGTACGATCAATCGAAGATTAAATTTAAAGTATCTAACCAGCTGAATAGAAACAGAACAGTGATGAAGCTTGAAGAGCTTGTTAATACGGAGCAGACAATTTGAATAGGGTCTTCACCGGCGCGGCGTGTAGATACGGGATGTAATGGCCGCCCTGAGATCTACCTCGTAAAACGAAACAGCTCGAAGTTCCACCGCAGCGATAATTGGCTCCGCAATACAGTATCATACTCATTTGCTTGACAGACTAATGCTTCAGTTAACCAACATTTTGTTTGGAGCCATCGGCGGCGAGGGAAATCAGAGTCCGGCGGATGTTTATAATTCAAGGCGGACTCGCCGCGGATTTCATTACTGGCGGATCTCCCGCGGGGGGAGGGGGTGACATCTTATTATTTTTGACTGACTGCTTTGTTTATGCGGATTTAATTGGGCGAGAGCAGAGGGTGACGGATCGTATGCCTCAAGAGACGAGGACGTGGCAACTTCACTCGACGTATTCTTGTGGCATCTTAGGAGTATTGTTGTACTAAATGTAGTTGGGACTATAGCAATGATTTGAGAGGTGAACTGATGTTATTATTCACAACTTTTATTATTATTGCACCCATCTTACAATTTTCATTAGCATAGCTTCCTCCGGTACCCACAGCGACAGTAAACATGAACAATATAATTCCCACCGACTTAATATACTCGTACCAGCCGCTATAGCGTGTAATTCGGTGTCACACCTCATGCGACCTTTTCATCTGAAGAGGGGTAATACCTGTGAACCCCTTCCACTAACATGTCACCTGATTGCTGTCACTGTGCCTACATATTACAACAAGCTCTGGTTTCAACTTAGAGTTTTGATTAATTTTATGATTTCCGTCATGTTTGAAAGGAAGACAATTGTGGTAATTTGTGGACAGTTATGAAGCAAACTAAATTCGATGCGTATTCATTAAAAAAATTGAGAAGGCATTCAAAATATTTTTTAAACTTATAATATTGTGAAAGTATAGCTTTTAGTTAATCACATCAAAATGTGTGACGACAACAGCCAAAAATAGATTTACGAACATAAATCATTGTATGAGAAAATAGACACCAAAACAGTGTCTGCGTCAGAGCCCGGGGCTCCAACTTAATAATTGGATTAAAATTGAACCAGTGGAAAAATCGGATTACCCCAAGTAACCAATTTTACAAAGTTCCTTTCAAATATTATATTTAAATCTCGTTTAATACACCTATAACGACGCTCTTCACGTACTTAAGGGTTCAACAGGATTTAATGAGCCTCTGAATATTCTACATCATAGTAATTACTCATTGCTTTATTGGAAACTAGATGATAAACAAAATAATGTTGTCTGCCCAATGTTAACACGTGCGTAACTCGTAACTGCCAACTAATGATTTAAGTGGAAAATGTAGCTCAACAAATAAACTTTCGTAAAATCGTTCCCGTTTTGAATCATTTATCTCGAAAAGTACAATGTCTGGTAGCAGGTAAAGGCCATCTGTCTTATTTATTCCCAAAACAACGTGAAAAACTTTCTAACCTTTGATACGTGACTAATATTCTTGTTGTACAAACAGATAAATATATTTCTAGGGACAGGAACGTTTTATCTCAGAACCTTTGTCAGCAGCCAACTATCGATGTAAATGTACAATTGAAGTTTCATAAAAACAGACTATCCTTTTACACAAATCGATGAATAATATAATTAAGTACTTGACCATTGTATGTAGGCTCACACAGAATTTGATCATGAAAGTCTTTGAAATCGTGGAACTATTAAAACAATCCAAAGTTCTATCCAAAACCTACAGTACAATGGGCGTCCAAACTTCACATAATTGATGCATGCAGTAACCGCTAACCCAATTCCGCTGGACGTGGGCCCCGTTTAATTAATGACGTCACTCGATGTCATGTCATCATTACGGGGGAAGGGGGAGGTAAACGCAGGCGCGGGTGGAGGGGGGGGGGTCAGATAATGAGTGACACACTGATCTATGAGAGCTATCGAGCGGAGGATTATACCGATAGAGTTCGGATGCGATTCTGGATTGAGATTATGGATGGGGACGCTGCATAAACTTGACATGCTTCACTCGAGGGTCCACGAGGATACTAAGTTAGTGCGCGCTGTTAGGTACATAACAGATATAATTATGTCGAATAATCGACTAGTAGGTACATAATAAGGTGAACGCTCTGCTTGGCGGTTGCTGCGTCAGGATCGCAATATACCGCTTATACTCTGATTGGTTGATTCCAAATTAATTGACTGATACGTTTGGTAACGTTATTGGGATTAATTTAACTATAAACATCACAAATGAGGCAATTAACATGATTTGTATTTCGACTCGCAATTCCGATTTATTTGATATTATTGATTTATTTCAACTGGTTTGGGGTTTAAACTTTGGTTTAATGGCGTGCGACCGCAACTTACAAAATAAATGAACAGTAAAATCGGTACACATTTATCCGAGACACTTTAACTAAAATACTTTAATTTTATTTTCCTTTTTAGTGTATTTTATGTTATTAATGAAATTATTTATTGTTCAATTGAAATTTGCCACACATTTGTACACAATATTTTTGTAAAATATATACTATCATCGTTCACCCTCATGTAGCACCTCTGGTGTAGTGGGTATATATGGGTGGCAACAATAGCACAAACATGCCTGTTTGCCTACAGGGCACTCTGGAAAAATAAAAGATATTAACGAGATCTTTGTTTCAGTAATGGACGTGGCCTGGGACGTGCGCGTGCAGTCGTCCCACGGAGTAGCAGGAGGAGCTGCCCTGCTCACCTGCACTGTGCCATCCATTGTGAAGAACCATGTCACCGTCTCCAGGTGGTTTAAAGATGGAAACGTGCTGGCACCGCTCGCTGCTGAAGCCGGTAAGTAAGAAAAGCAAATAAGTTCTTGATTGTATGGTTTTTGAAGAGGCTAATGGGCAACGTATGGCGGGCTCAATTCTCGAACAGAACAACTCTTTGTGTGATCCACAAATTCTTGTTCTAGGTCATTGTGTATTGTGATATTCACTGACGCTGTTTGCGTGTTTTTAAGCTTAGATTCAACATAGTACATGAATTCAATTAAATGTGGAGGGTGTGGGAGAAATGGGATGGCCCAGCTTAGGCCTAGGGTAAAACAGACAATCTGTGTCAGCGTGTAAGAGAAGCCCAATAATTCCCCACACATTCCTAATCCCCAAATCTTTAATCTCCAGAAGGCCGGCGACGCTTTGTAATTCCTCCTGGTCTTTCTGTTTGTGGACCAATACCACAAAAATAGAAAGAGCGAAATGAATACCTACAGTTGTACATACACTACACCTACCAAAACCAATCAATAATTGTATTACCAAAATATTTGCCTGTCGATAAAATTGAGTTTCTATTACAACTCCATTTCAGAGATCTAAAATAGGTATCTTTATAATATTGTATAGTCTGATTTCGTTTCAATGTTACCAAAACTTTTACTTACAAATGTACAAATATAATCCATTATACAGTTATATAATATTTACAATATCGATACTCAGTAGAAGCACCCATTTCAATACTGACAAGTGACCTTTACATACTTCAGACATTGAGGACGATTCAGAACTCTGTAACTTTGTACTTTCATCAAATAATTAGTTTGTCGGTTGGCCGCTTGTTGCAAGTTTTATTTATATTTTGTCAACTTCTCTGTCAAACGTGTTTCGAAACGCAACCTCCCTCCGGTCCCAATAGATAGGGTCGTCTGGAAAGTTTCCAACAATACCGACTCTGGACCTTATGAAATCGAAATTAATTTTCGCGAACGAGCCAAATGGCCGATTATTGCTTTCGAAAGGAGAAAATTAAGAATTTTTCGTTAATCCGAGTGTAGGAAGCGGCTGTCGGCGACAGGAACAAGGGAGCTGAACTTGCTTTATGAGTTCCGAGTTCTCGATTAGAACCAGAAAATTCGATTAATGTTTTCATTTACCGACGCTTCCGTTCTTTTTCGATTACTCCTCGAGGTAATGGCTCATTCAACTTCTCGGACATTTTTCCAAGAGATTGTTTTTTAAACTGAAGTTATATTTGTTGGTAGAAGTTGTTTAATGTGGCGCGGTTTCGGGATTTTGTGTTTGTCATTCTTATTTAGAGATTCATTGTCTGTGTATATGTGTGGGATCTTTTTCTTGACAGAGCAATATTTCTTAGTCTGTTCGTTACATATTCTATTAAGAAGGGTAGAATCAATTTACGTTATTTTCTTTGCTTAATAGTAGGATAAATTGTAACATTATATTTGGGTAACAATTTTAACAATAATACGAAGATAGGAAATGTAATTATTAAACCTTAACAGGCATCGACTCGATCGAGCCAATCTCACGTTGAGCACAGATTTACATCGAGACCACTGGAATGCTCAATGAAGCCGAAACACTCAGATAAGGGATCGACAACCAGCACCAACGAATGAGTCGTTAATATAATTATCTTGACTTGATTCCGTCACTCATGATTAATGATACAATTTCTGAGCTAGAGGTATTGCTACGATGTAATAGAATATTTAATTAAAAGTCTCAAATGTTACACATGTCAATTAATAATCTCTTTCAATCTGTAATCATTCAATCTTCGCACTTTTACTAGGGTATATTTTGTTGTAATCAGAATTCAGATATTCTTAGATGATTGTTGATACATATTTGGTAATCGCTTTCACTATTTCCATCACGTAAGCCCAGTAGACTGTATATTCAATATACAAGTATGTATAATGTATAGAATATCAGCTAAGTGTCAACAGATAAGGCGACAATGGGACGATTGTGTTGACTGTTGAATTAATAATCGCTCACGACATTATGCGACCGCAACCGTGTGCTATCAGTCCGGCCCATTGAATGCGATAGATCATAGAATCGGTTCATGACCATCAACTAATGCTTTATGACAAGACTAAGATAAGTGTGTCGGGTATCATCATTTGATTGTAATACTAAAACTAAAACGCCATCAATATTTAATGGAAAGACCTCAATATTTCTAAGTGAACGTGACTCCGTTTTATTACCTTTAGTGTTCACATTTATATCTCCAAGCTCCAGTAACGCGACGCTAACACAGCGGCGCCAACAATAAATAATTAGTTTGCCCAAAAATACTGATGACTGTTAATCTATCTCGAGAGAGAATAAGTTAGGGCCTCGCAGCTCGGTCTTTTCAACAACTTCTACACAAGTACACCTTCATCTACTTTTTCTTATATAAAGTCTGTGTTATAAGCTTCAGTTACGATTTTGTCCTTAGAACTTTTAAGAAAATACGATAAATCATTCATCTAGTCTTATTCTTTATCTCTTTATTCGCTGAACATTTACATAGATGTTACGGCTCGCAGTGAAGCTGGAGCAAGTCATTGTCTAAGACTGCAGTAACCGGTGCATTACCATTCAACAGTTCCATCTCTGAATTCTTTGCACAGTCCTTTAATAAAGAAGAACAGTACAAATTGAATAGGGAACTTTTCTCAATTGTCGGTGCGCAGCGGCAATAAGATTCAAACTTTACGTAAAGTTAAGCGTCGCTAATGCAAGTTTAATGTTCGCCTTTGATGCAGTTGCGACGAATTACCACTCCCTGCTTAAACAGATAAGTTGTAGCGCCACCGCGCAGCGCAGCGCTGCAGGACTTCGGGATACTGATTGATTGATAATTACTGCTTCCAAACTTTTCTACATACTTTTGTAATGTGACAAACAAAATGTAAACAAGCACGACCACAAACAAGGTTTTTAATGCATACCGTCTTTTGCTATGCTCTTATGGGCAGAGTCATATGTAATTTCTAAGTTCATGAAGACACCACAGGTGAAGGAAAACATTGTGAGGAAACCTGGACTTAATTAATTTAATTTCTTTTTATAAGTTTGAAATTACCAAACCGCCTTGAGTAAGCGTGGAGATTAATGCTCAAACCGTGTGAGAAGAGGCCTTTGTTCAAAATTGGGCACTTATAGGCTGATGATGTATGTCTGTGGATTGTAATGTCTTGCTAATTATTATGTATCAATCAAAATCGCTATCGTACTCTAAACAAAAATACACCAAAGACAAAATTAAAGTATAAATTATACTGGGTATCTGTGTCATTAGCATAAGTATCGTAGCTATAACTTTTTCTTGCGCCGTTTCTTGCAGCTCATCTATAACAAGTTTTCGATTCTATTTTCTTAGCGGTTGGCTGTAGACCGACACAAACTTTTAGAATTCGAACAAAAACCAGCTAATTTGCAGCCAGCACCCAGCGTGCACGGAGGATGCAGTTTAGTTCCCGGCGGGAGTTGCCAGTTTCGCCGGCGTTTATGTAGATTACCCGCGCGCTTGATTTAATATCCGCCCGTCACTCTGAGGAACCCACCGTCACAGCTTCTGTTACACTCCATTCTTTACTTCCATTTACTCTTTGTCATTCGCGGTTGTTTATAAGGTTTTCAACGACTTTCATTTCATACAACAAATACATATTACGTTTAAATTAAAAACGTACGTTCTTATTTTTTGTGGATGTTAAGACGATGAAAATACATGTGACTTCTCATATTTTTGACAAATTAATGTAATTTTCGTTGGGTGGTGTATGGTATATTTTTTAAGTGGTAACATTAATTTCCGAGGCAATGTTGTTCGGTAAGACGAGCGTTGTAAAGTTGGCAGTACGTCATGTCGGTGCACACTCGCTACAGGCGTCATTTAGCGCAGCTCGCTCAGCCGAACTTTACTACTTTCCGGGAAATAAACAGCTAATGTATTCCACACGTATTGCTGCGTACTGAATATATTAGCTACTCTATTGTTATGTAAGCCCACTTAGGAACAAGTCTTTAGTAGCAACTTCTTATCTTCATATCATATTCCAATTATTATAATCCGAGTACCACCCTAACCTTAATTAAGTTTTTTTTCATATCAGATTCAGTGAAATTAATGTAACGCAATTTTCTTTATAACGCAAAAAAGCGAAAGTTTACAGAAATGAAATTAAAAAGCGTCATTTTCCATAAAAGTGTGGATTTGATGGTTGTTATCGAGTTGAGACAGACGTCCCGGCCGCTTATCTCGTCACCCATCGCCTCCTCGCTCCCCAACTATATACATTCCGGGAACAGCCCCCACATTCACTTTTATGGTTATTTGAATGACGTACCGTTCATAAAGTCGACATAAAACAAGTTAAGGCTGCGATAAAGGATCAGTTAATTTCTAGACGATGTTCCTCTCTTTAGGATCTTATCAAACATTTTTTGGGTCCTTGCCGTTTATGTATTTCATGGTTCGATACATTTCGATAAGGATGTTTATTTTATGATGTTATTTTGAAAAACTCTTATTTTATTTTCAAACCTTACCTTAGCAAGTCCTTTATATTAATTCAGGCTACAGAACGAGTCATTCAATTAGAAATACGGTAAAAATATTTCAAGTTGAAAACCTTGAATTTTAATGAAACAACAATTATAATTCTCGACAGCTAAGCGACAGATAAATTTTAATCGTACATCGGTGACATCGTCTAGAGAGACGGATATTTTGCAAAATTTACCATAAATTATTCTCTAGAAAGTAATTTAACAAGTTTCAAAACGAAATTAAAAGTAAATCAGAGCTTTCTTATTTTATTCAAGAGTGAGTTTTCTTGTTGTTCATGGCCCACTTCTGTCTCTGCTAAATTAAATTTCTTCAAAAGAAACTAATTTTAATAATAAATTGATATTCATGATTCTCCTTTGGTAAAGGAAAGTTATTTGAACAGGTGTCAGACACCATATAAAGTTACCACGGCCAGTGTTCTTAGATTAGAATTTTATTAATATCGTTAAAAGTAGCGTTACTTTTGCTCGTTGCTCGTTTTTATATTGTGATATTCATAATTAGTATTATTTCTAGCATCTATATCAACTTTTGTTTGGAAATACACTAGCTCCAGTTAAAATCATATTCAAAGCAAAAGAACATGGGCAATAATTGAATATAATATAAGGTTCACTTTTGCCTATTATCTCGGCAGCGACAGTAAATTTACAACACTTGTATGTTATGTAAATATAACGAGACAGTAAATCACCGAGCTTTAAAGTTAATTGAAGACATATTTGTTTTATTTGTTGACATTTGACAACAATTTGGGGCAAAGTGCTCAAAAGGGCGTTAATTAAAACTTCGTTATAGTGTTCCGCGCCACCGCACCGTGTGACGTATGATGACGTGTGTTGTGACGTCACAGCGAGTCGCAGCGACATTGTATCCTGCGGCTCACGAAGGCGTAAGATGCAATTATTTTTTCACTACCGTAGTTAGTAGTTGCTACAGTTTCCCGCTAATTGAAATATTGTTTGACGTCGACGTTATCCTGTTCAGAGTGTTCAGTTTTAACTTTACTGTGATGTTCGCTAGCTTCCCTTTAGAAGCTGTGAAATTAATTAATTTTTACTCTTTTACTTTCTGTGCTCTTATAAATGTTTAAAGCAGACACTAGATAGAGTACTAACTTTGTGACTTTGCAAATACTCATTAATTTCTTTTGTTTACTTTTTATTACATCGTGTAGTTAGTTACAGTTCAGATTTTATGAAAACTATTAAGTACCAAGCTAGCTTATCTCCAAACCACAGACACATTTCAAAAGTTTAAGCTCTTATTGCATTTTGAAATTGATAAATTCAATAAACTTTTCCTCGATCGGACTCAGAAGGTCTTACAAAGGAGTCGCACTTACAACCTCTCCACCACTCGTACATGAGACAATAGCGCTATATTGCGTGCTTTGAACATCTGTGTGCATTGTATAAAGATATTCAATCTACACTTTAAGAAATTGCTCGAAAAACAATAAAACGGAGCGTTTAAAAGCCAAACAAAGTGACAATAGTATCGAGTGGATCAGTTAACAGTCGACAATGGTGAAACAAAGCGGTGGAGCGAAGGGGATCGCAAGCCGAGGTAGTCGCGCATTTAGAATTCATTGAAAAAGTCGCGCTTGAAAGTTATCTGATCGTAAACGGTGACGACCGTCGAGACGGTGCCGGGCTGCCGTACGCTCCGGCACACAAGCGCCACGGACTTAGTATCAACATCAAGTGCTACAGTTCACGGGTTATTAGTCTTTATGTGCAATGTATTAGGTTTAATTTCGTATTACTGTTTACACTTTATTTCTTTGACGACTGACTGAAATAAAATATTGGGATGATATTGACTTTGCCAGATCTTAACCTGTTGAAAAATGATCGGTGAAAATCAGTACGTTTAAGGCTCACTCGCTACTAAATAGAATTAAAGGTAGTTAATGTTTTTTATCATTTTAATACTTTTTTTCTACTTTTATTGGATTTTGTTCTCGAGTACCCGCCGCACAAGGCGACGGTCGCCGTCGGTCAAAAACCGTCCCCCGCTATAACCAGTAAGTGCACTCGATGGAAGTTGTCTCCTAATTTCAAAGTCATGAGCGTTTCATTACTCTCGCAGATCGTTGTTTGAGAAGTACCGTCGTCGCGTAAACCTGACTCCTAAATTCATTTAATGCAAGCTATAAAGTAAATTAAAACTGTAATAAATAATAACCTTTATTTACATTCTGCGGGTTAACTATAAATTCTTGTTAAATGGAACTTTCTCGAGTTGTAACAAGTTAAACTGTAACGATGATTTTCGGAAAGATATTGTTTATAAAATGTAGGAAGTATAAACTGAAGGTTTTAAAGACTGGCAACGCGCTTTTGATTCCTCACGTGCCGCATTTAACATTAAGTGACTCATTAGCTCGTTAGCCGCCTATTCCATAAAACAGTGGTATATCTCAATATTTTACAATAACCACTAGCGGTTTCGCGATTATTACTAGAACTTATTACTAGAAATTATATAATTATTGTCAGTGGTTTCGAAATCTATTCTAATATTATAAATGTGAAAGTAACTCTTTCTGTCTTTTCTTCACGCCTAAACTACTGAACCAAGTGAAATTTGGTACAGACATAGTTTGAAACTCGAGATAGGACATAGGATAATTTCTTTTGCAAAATTCTAAAGGAATTCACTATTCCACGCGAACTGACTATTAATTGGAAAGTCACATTGCAAGTTACCAGGTTCAAACACCCTTATGCATATGAAGAAGATACTTTAACTTATTATCATCATATCATGCTTACTGACTGATTAAAAAGTTAGATTAATAAAATTAGTGTAACCATATCCACTTGTGTCGCGGCCTGTACCAGCCCCCTCCCCATCCCCCAGTCTCCTCTGTCACTTGAACTTCCTAGTAGGATGTTGATGGATGTATCGAAAGCGAACGCTGCAGTTTAATCAAATAGAAAGCTTGTTCGAAGCTCCGTGCTTTGACCTGCACGTTACATGAACCTTGTTACCTACACAAACAGAGCCACATCCTAATAAATTGCTGAGATGTACAACACAAGTGTACCGGCGTTGCTGAAATTTCTGTTTAAACATGATATTATTGATACACCTTATAAAATAAACCTAAATAATCTAAGTGAATGAAGTTTTTCATAATACACTTGATAATACTCATGATATATAAATAATTAGTATCGAGATATCAATTTTAAATATTCATTTATTTTATTTATCATTGGGTTGGTGTTGGGCCGCTACCTTGATGGAGTTTTTTTTATGTAATAGGTCGGCAAACGAGCAGACGGATTACCTGATGGTAAGCAATAAGCGCCGCCGATGGACACCCGCAACGGAGGAGTTACGAGTGCGTTGCCGACCCTTTAGGGATTAAGGCTTTGGAGATATAGGGATTGGGGAGGAATCGGGGGAGGGGAAGGATTGGGCCTCAGGTGACCTCAAACACACGGCGAAACACTACGCTGTGGAAGTTTCACGCCGGTTTTCTGTGAGGCCGTGGTATCACTCCGGTCGAGCCGACCCATTCGTGCCGAAGCATGGATCTCCCACAGTTACACATATTATTTTATTTATAGAAATTTACTCCTCTCCGAAAAAATATTTACTTCTAACTTACTTCTAAAAGAAACCCGCTAGGCCAAAACTTATGGATGGAGAGGTCTTCTTAGCAATGTTCTTATATGATACGTCTATTAGCTGTTTTCGTCTAACTAGTCCTGTTTCATAAAGGTGGTCGCTACATCGTGGGTGGCAGCCGCAGCGACATTCTGGTGGTGCGCGACGCCCGGCCGGAGGACAGCAGCTCCTACTCCTGTGAGGCGCAGCATGCCCTCACTGGGGAGAAGAGGAGGAGTCCAGCTGCTATGGTTACAGTCTCACGTAAGTATGCCCCAGTGCCAATACATTTCCGTCCTCTGCTTTACAAAAGAAAAGTTTCTATAATTCGCCACCAAAATCACAGTTTAGAGCGCTGTTGCCTTACTTCTAAAGACTTGATAGACTAAGGATCACTATACTTAACTTGACCATAACGATACACCAGACAACGGGCTCTTTAATAACATCACCGAGCTCTTAACTTCAACTCTTCGTATCCATCTAATTAGCGGACGATAATGTATACCTATACAAATTATAATAAGTACGTTAAAATTATCTACCTACATCCGTTTTGGTTAATTAATGTTCTTATCATTGCCAAAGTTTCCAGACAAGGCTGTGTTAGCTTAATAAAATACAATCTGTTTATTTCCATGAATTTCCTATTGGAAAATTTTAGAAATACTATATCAATAAACTGTTGAAATTCACAACTAACTAGAGCATCTGTGAGGAATAAATTTAAATCGAAATTCAAGTATTTGCATAACATGGGTAGGTATTATTATAACGGTGTCAATAATACAATGATGTTAAGAATACAAATCTCTAAGCTCTAGGTTTAGATGTTAAAAGAGTCCCTTTATCACAGATGCGTCGTCGAGTATGGCGCCGCGGATGCTGACAGTGTCAGATGATGAGATGGTGCCCCAGGGAGGTGACATCAGGCTGGTGTGCTGCGCTATTGGAAGTCCACCACCAACATACAGGTAATCAATCAAAATGCATTCCAATGGAATGGCAGAGGCAATTAAATAGCATAATTCTAACATAATGCTGTTGCTGAACAATATACAAAATATTGTGTGTTTTGAAGGTTACTGTAAATATAGTTTTCTCGTATGGTTTGACTTCAAATATTTGATAAATGAAGACATCCATTGTACAACAACTTTAGTGACGTCACTTTGATCGCAGTGCCACATTCTAGTTGGCTTCGTTCCCATTATGCCAGGCCAGATGTTTAGGAAGACCTTCCAAATGGCTCGTATAAACACCCTGCTGAATTACGAGCTGGAAGAAATCCAGCTCATGTCATTAAAAATGCAGAATTTAGTCTCAATTTTAGTTATGATTTGATTGATGTTCAAGGTTTTTAATTAAACGTACACTCAGACATTAATATACAATTTTCCCTCTATTTAAGATATTGTTATTTAACCATTCCTAAAACACCGTTCTGTTTCAGTTGGTTCCGTCACTCCAACGGTCGACTAAGTCCAGTGTCCAATAGCATCAGGATATCGGTGTCCGACCAAGTGCTGATCATCCGCCGAGCGCAGCTGTCTGACGGCGGGGTGTGGACGTGCAGGGCTCACAACCAGTTCGGGGAGCAGAGGAGAGACGCCAGACTGAGGGTCAGGTCACGGCTGGTCGTCAGTGTACATCCGCAGTTACAGGTAAGTCAAATAGTCAAGCCTCAGTCATCACGTTTTTTTATCCTCCATACCCGCATATTCCATTTCAAATTTCAACCGTTACCTTTGTTAAGAAGAACGTGGCCGGTATGCACAAGTGAGCCACGTTTCTTCGAATTCGTCAGTGAATAAACAGCGCTCCGTACCTTTCAGCTGAAGAATAACCAGCGAACATTTCCTTTTATTACATAAAGGCTGCTAAGAGAAAACACAATTGTCCCAAACGCTCCGACATCTGTATTTGGAGAAGCGGCTAAACTCCCGTCAGCGGCGGGTGACGTTGCAAAAATTGAAAAATAAGTATTCAGATCACAGAAGACACGAGACACATCGCGCGATGTGATCCTAGCGGCTCGCTCATCGAATATAGACAAGATGAGGCGAGGCGGTGTTGCTAGCGACTGCTGTTCCTCCGCGGTTGTAGGACACCGATATTTCAGTTATTGAAATATTAAATTTATTACTTGCATTTTCAAATAAAAAATACACACACATACATCCTATTACACATGGAATAACAATATCTACACAGAATTATAACACATGGCAAGTTATGCACCAAAAGTTGATTTAGTCACGATACTTGCTAATATAGTTGGCGCAGTAATTGCGTTCTCAAATACTTACTTTGATTCAAGTTAAAACTTTATTTGGTACTTAAGCAACCATTTGACGACGGAGGGAAAGACGTCACGGACGCGGCGAACAGCTGATCGGTGTGTGTGAAAAACAAGTCAATAAAAAAGAAACAACGATCCCAGTGTAATTCTTTATTGCTAAAAATATAGCTAACAGTATAATAAAGTGCGTCTATTGTTGTTAAGTGACAGTGTTCAGTAAATACAAAATAAACTTAAATCTAAATAATCAAACAGAGCGATCAAGTTTGATCCACCCACAATTCAAAAAAAAAAAAAATCTACTGAATAAATGTAAACAACATTAAGTGATTAAAGCATTTAAGTCGAAAACAGTCTACTTAATATAGCAATTACAAGTTCCGAGTCTAAATAGTGTGTGTCAACTGTCAAGTGTGGATGCTGAGTACCTGGTGAATCTTTGTCTAAGTACCTACATAATTTAGTTAGTCATGGCCAAGTGTGGTGGTTGTGGCAAATTTATCTCTTCGGCTGATTGCGTCCGTTGCACCAGGTGCCCAGGTGCTTATCATCCCGGCTGTGTGGGTTTTCCGGCATCAGCCAAAGTATCGCCGACCTGGCTCTGCCCGGGCTGCAAGGCCAAGGCACCCAGGCTAGACAACTCAGCTACTCCGGTTAAGAGCGCCATGTCTGAGTGCTGCACGGAAACCCAAAGCCAATTGAGCGACGTGGATCTTCCCCCGAGTGCCACCGACCTAAATGTGGCGTATGAGATTAGGTGCTTTAGGCAAGAATTGGGTGCAATGAGGGATGAGTTTCGTCAATTCCAAGCCGAGCTCCTGAGTCTGCGTACGTCAGTAAATGATTGCAACCAACGTATGAATAATATTGAGAGCAAAGTGACTGACATTGAGAGGCGCTTTGAGGAGCAGGGTCCTGCGAAATACGACGCTGTGGAAGCAACCATAGCAGCTTTAAGGGCGCAACTAAACGACCGAGATCAGGAACTCCTACAGAACGACCTGATAATTGCTGGCATACCGGAGACTAAGGGTGAAAATCAATTCCACACTATCAGGGTCTTATCATCTAAACTGGGTGTCACCCTGGAGGAGCAAGATGTTGTAAACATCGAGCGCATCGGTGCCGTGAGGCGTAATTTCATCGATGGTGTTGACTCGGCGCCGGGAGGGATGCGGGTGCGCGTCATCGCAGTGCGACTGGCGCGTCGCGTTGTCCGCGACCAACTGCTGCGGGCGGCGCGCGTGCGACGCGGCCTCGCCACCGCTGACCTCGACATGAGCGGCCCACCGCGTAGGGTATACATAAACGAGCGTCTCACACCGGCTAACAGCAAATTGTTCCACAGCGCTCGTGAGGCTGGGCAGCGGGCTAGGTATAGGTACGTCTGGACAAAGGACGGACGCATCTATGCGCGTAGGGAGGATGGGGTCCCTGCTCAACGTATCCACAATGATGCGGACCTGGCGCAGATTTTTGGCAACAGTCGAGTTGGTTGAGATTTACTCTGTTACTTTTGAGTTGTTTGTCTAGTGTGTACATTGTTCATCCTTGTTTTGTGAGGGTATTGTATCTTTTATGTAGGTCGATTTTTTGCTCGTTTTTAGTTGCTACTACGAACTATAAGTGTTCGTGTTGTAGATGTATGCATGCGTGTGTACCTTTTGCCCTAATAAAATTACTTTTATTTTATGAATGTGTAAACACTTTATGTAACTGTTTGTGTTATGTCCTGATAATGGGGGCTGGAAGAAGGTGCGCTCCCTGCAGTTACTCATGTATCTTTCTTACACCTACGTATATTTACTACTTTCTTATTGTTTGCCTTTTCAAATATAGTATAGTATCTACATATTTAAATAGTATATTTTATTACAATGCTATAATTATAACAATTACATATACATTTTTTTATTACTGTATTATAATTAGAATAAGTGAATACAAAAGTTGCATATCATTCTATACATATTTAATTATAGTTTCTATCTGTCACAATTTTGGTAGTAACATGTACTTAATAAGCATTTTACATAAATTATGACCTCAAAGCATTTTAAAATTGGTTTCATAAATGCTGGCTCGCTAGGTACTCGTCACGACGAGTTAATTGTTGCCATTGATAGCCATGGCGTAGATGTTATGGCAATAAATGAGACTTGGCTTAGGGACGGGGAGGAGGGGCGTGCACCTACCGTGCCTGGCTACCGTCTGCGTCACCAGCCGCGCCCGCTGAGCGTGCGCGGCGGCCGCGGCGGCGGAGTTGGGTTTTATATAAAACGAGGCGTTAATGTGCGTACACACGCTCACCCGGTTGACCCGTCACATGGTTCGATTGAGCAAATGTGGTTAGTGTTAAACATTAATGGTACGAGGCTTGCCGTGGGCACGGCATACAGACCACCTTGGTTTGATGTTGATTTATTTTTCGACGGTCTCACTGCATCTATTGAGTCAGTTTCATTTTGTGACCAGACTGTTCTCCTTGGAGACTTCAATATTAATTGTTTGAGCCGCTCTGAGATAAAAGTTAGCAAATTAAACTCATTTTTGAATTGTTTTAATTTAAAACAAATAATAACATCGCCCACGCACTTCACAAACACTACCGAGACTCTCATTGACCTTGTCTGCACGGACGCTCGCGTTATTAGCCATGTAGTAGACCCAATCGAGGCACTAGGAGCGCATGCTTTTGTGACTGTGATGTTCAATTTTGGAAGGAACAAGCCACTGCCTTTTACTGTTACCAAGAGGAGCCTAACTAAAATATGCTCAAAAAAGTTTAACAATGACTTGCAATCTACTGACTGGTCACTGGCTGGTCAGTCAAGTGATATAAATGTCATGGTGGACAGGTTAAACCAATGTATAATTAACCTTTTTGACAAACATTCTCCTCTCAAGAGGCATGTTATTAGGGAAAAATCGTATCCATGGATTACGGATAACATTAAACTCATGATGAATTTGAGAAACAAAGCCTATGCAAGTTATATAAAAACTAAGTCAGAATCAAAAAAAAAATATTACAAAGACCTTAAAGCACTCGTACGAAAATCACTATTTTATGAGAAAGTAGCTTACTTTAAGACAAATATAAACAACAAAATTAAGTTTCCTAAAATCCTTTGGAATAATATAAAAACAACCTTGTTGCCTCTAAATCGGAAGGCCGAACTACCGTCACATTTTAATGATCCGAATAAAATAAATACCCACTTTCTAAATGTACCTGGAACCATGAACTCGTCTATAAGTAGTTTGAGTTATTATGAGTATCACAGATTCGCTGACAGTACTTTCACACTCAGAACGGTTGATGAATGTGATATTATTAAAATTATAAAAGGTCTCACATCTAACGCCGAAGGACATGATTGTATTACTCTCAACATGTTCATTATGACACTACCATACACTTTGACATACTTGACAAACATCATAAATACATCAATCAGCACCTCAACCTTTCCTGACCATTGGAAACTGGCAATTGTACGCCCGATACCAAAAAAATGCTCCCCTACCGATGTGACAGACCTTAGACCCATTAGTATTCTGCCCCTGTTGTCTAAAGTGCTGGAGAAGGTGGTAAATACACAGCTGACACAGTATGTAGAGGCAAATGCCATTCTCCCTGAATTACAGTCTGGTTTTAGGAGAGGTCGCGGCACGACGTCGGCTTTGCTCGATGTCACTGATAACATACTATCTGCTCAGGACAAGGGCTTCTGTACCATTTTGGTGTTATTAGACTTTTCCAGGGCTTTCGATGCCATAAATTTGACGCTACTACTATCGAAGCTGGCTTTTTATGGCTTTGATACTTCAACTGTGAAATGGTTTGACAGTTACCTCAGCAACCGTGCTCAATACGTCGAGTTACGAGACCAAAAGGGAAATATTAATAAGTCACAAACAACTCCCCTAATAAAAGGCGTGCCGCAGGGTTCAATTCTAGGCCCCACACTATTTATCACATATAGCGCAGACATAGTAAAAGAAATCAATCATTGTCAATACCACATGTACGCTGATGACCTTCAGATATATTTATCCTTTAAACCACAAGACTATGAGTTTGCCATCAAACAAATTAACAAAGATTTGGAGGGTATATTTGAATGGTCAGAAAGAAACTCGTTAATTTTAAATCCAGTTAAAACCAAATTTATGATATTCGGCACCCCAGGCTTATTGAATAAGATACCAATGAGCACCTCCGTAACCATTAATGTTAAGGGACAAAGTGTAGAGCGAGTAAGTGAGGCGAGGAACCTGGGCCTTGTAATGGACGAAGGTCTAAGGTTTGAACGTTTTATTTCGGACTGCGTGAGAGGCTGCTTTTATCGTCTGAAAATCTTATATAAAATACGACCCTACTTGTGCGAGGAACTGCGTGTGCGGTTGGTGGAAAGTTTGGTTTTATCAAAACTAAACTACGCAGATACAGTCATAGGCCCCAGGCTTTTGGCACGCACTGGGAGATTAATACAAAGAGTACAGAATGCTTGCGCACGATTTTGCTACAATGTTCCACCGAGGAGTCATGTTACGCCTTTTTTAAACAAACACAATGTTTTAAAAATGAAATCACGTCGTAAACTCCACCTCGCCTGTCTTATGTTCGACGTGATAAAACACAAGTGTCCTCCATACCTGTACGCTAGGCTTTCATGGGTTGGCAGTCACCGGGAGCTTGAGGGTAGGCGATGTGCTCAGCAGCTCGCCATTCCTCAGCACAGGACTGCAGCCTTTCGTGGCAGCTTCCGTTATGCGGCCTCCAAATGTTGGAATAATATTCCGCCTCCAATTAGAGATCTGAAAAATAAAAAATCATTTAGGTTAAAATTAAAATCTTTTATTGTGACATCTCAAAATAAATTCGGCGACATGAATATTGACAAGTCTTTTATCTAATTTCAGTTTATTATTCCAAATTAGTAAATTTTTACTTACTTTTTACACTAACTTGGAAGTTTTTGCATTTTTGTGTGAGTAATCACGGTGTTTGTACTACTTGCACTTGGCCATTACTTTTATTTATTTATTTTATTACAATCACTCCACTACTCGTAAACTTTGCTGCCTGAGTTTTGTGTCCTGTGGCTGGTGGAGGGCAACTGTATCCTTGAGGGGGTACGCGACAAAGTGAACGAGAGCTCAGCACGGGTGTCACTAAATAGTACCTGTCTAGTATACCTACAAATAGCCAAAAACATTTTTCGACAACCCCCAGTTAATTAAAAAAAGAACATGTAGCAATTAACTCCCTTATGTATCATATTTTAAAAAAAAGATTGTATTCACTTATTATGATATAAAATGTATTCATATCTGAATAATTTGGATAATATTTTCACACACGCACACTTTCTTCTATATTCACATTATGTTTCTTACTTCTTTTCTTTACTGATTGGCGGTACCGCCGTCCGTGACGTGAGTCAGTGCAGGGTGCCACCTGAAAATCAGCGTTGAGCATATTTGCTCAACTATATGCTGAGGTGGAGGCCCTTTTGGCATGGGCACATGAATGTTGTTATTATTTTAGCGTTTTATTTTCTTTTTTAATACTTTATATGTTATTCTTGTTTTGTTTATTAATTTATTATTGTAATTATAAATACTGTGTTCTTATTATGTATTTTTATATACTTGTATTTGTGTGCCTATTTGTCGAATAAATGTGTTTTCTTTCTCTTCTTCTTTCTATTTAAGTAAAATTGTTTAAATCTTAATTAACAGTCGTAACAGATTTTGCATACTTAAAATACTTCTGTAATAACAAAATTAATGAACGTATATAATTCTGGAACATTGAAATTATTTACCGAGTTCCGTTTCAACATTCATGAAAATAAAAATGAACCCAATTACTGAATTTTAATTATGTTGAAATGTTATATTTAGATAAATAATGTATACCTAACAAATCATTCCAAATATTTTTTTATTAATAATTTAATCCGTCCTTTGTTATTTTGAAAAATAAGTGTAACAGTAATAAGTTATTTCATGTAAAATAAAATAACTTCCATCCACATTCTGCACAATACCATTTCCATAAAGACTGAACTCAAATGCATAAATTGATCGCGAGGTACACAACAATATACATACCTATATGATAGAGGTGGCTATCTACATACACATATAATGTATGCATGTATGTACAGGGGCTGCGAGCGATCCTCTGTCATGTAAAAATACGTTGAAATATTTTTTAAAGTTTCGATGTTTCATGTTGGATAGCTGCGTTAGTTGCATTGCACTGGGAATGAATGACACGCTTTCCTCTTCTGTTTTATATTTTTCAGAAACGTTTTAATGGAAAAAGTAGTTGGCGACCGACAGACAACACTCGACTATTGCCAAACAATAAAATGGAACAATTATTCATTTTCAAAGATTTTATCTTTATTCGTTTAACGATAATCTAGAAGTGAATTTATAAATACGTCAACAATAACGTTGATGTTATTGTTGACGTATTTATAACACAAATCTGTATCTCCGATGCTCTGCGTACAGAGAAACGTCTATTGTTTCAGATATAAAACGCTTATTTTGGTTTTTAATTAATTCTGGGACTCTGCCCATCAAATTTAATAAAACAAGCTTCATTCTATGTAATTTAATTCACAAGTAAATATTGCCTGTGTATAATTTGATTAAGAAGTGAACAAAAGTGTTTTCATTAGTTAACTCAAGATCAAAAGTTTATTAATAACTCTTGACATACGAAATTGATGATTTTATCGTCCGTCCATTTATTTTACTTATAACTCAAAAAATAAATAAATCAAAAATGTAAGTTTTAAAATAATGAGTGCTACCCAGGTTTTTGTTATCGATGCTTTTGTACTACCACGCAAAAGATGCAAAAATAACATTTGATACAAAAAAATATATATTAAAAGTTTTGTTGTAACTAGTCCGATTACATTATAATAACAATTATCGCAGCGTTATAATGCAGATAGGTGCGTATCTACAACCGGAGTGTAACGTATATGTATTGACCATAATAATAAATTATTCACATGCTATGTTGAATAGCGTTGGTAGCCAATATCCCTTGTCATAGGGTTGTCACTGCGCCGGACGTCGTATTCATATCAGCTGCCGTTCAAGTTGGAAATTCTCCACTGTCAATACTCACTGCCTATCACTTCCTTATTGCGGCGTGGCTTCCGGCATGGGATAACCCCATCCTCCCGTACCCCAAACATATCTTACCTAGTAGACAGGGGATTATATCGAAAGCACGAATGATAATTATTTTCATTATGTAAAACTATATGATGCAGACAGCATTACTGTGATAACTCTTGCCAATAAATAAGGAGTAGTAGAAATAAATACATAAATGTCCATTTTCATAAATTCAAACCCTTAAATCCTGCTGTTGAAAATTTAATTACTCACGTGCCAAATAAATACGAGGGAATACAGTGATGCTAAATGTAATTGAATACCCAACACAAGAGATCAAAGACTATAGTTGCCCGTACCATTTGCTAGCAGCCCTAGTAATCCAGTTTGAGCCGACATGCGGCGTGACGTAGTCACTAGGTGATGTCCTCCTGAATAATTCATGAGGACGAGCTCACGGGGTCGTCTTGAGGCGACTCGCTCGTATTTGTCGCTTGTTTATCGAGTTCCAGCAGTTGGGGTAATTGGGTTAATTCGTCTATTTTTTTTTTCACTGGTCACAATAGTTGACCTGGGATTTTCTGAGTCTTTTTATGATTAGAAAATTATAATGTCTTTTTCCCATCCTGGGTGATCCTGGGTGGTGGAGTGAGAGGGTGTCAGACTCTCACTGACTTAAAAACCAACAAACGTTGTTCTTATATTTCGAGCCAGGCCCTAAAAAGCCAATTAAACTAAAATGTTTAAGTAAAATGGTTGTGTTATTTGCAACTTCAGGTTGAAGATTTTATCAGATTGCAATATTGTCATTACAGTTGTTTGTTAAAAAAACAAACAAACATTGATTTCTATTTGATTAATTTATTTTGTTTGGTACACTGAAAGCTTTTCCGGGTTTCAATGTTTGTGTATGAGAGATTTATGTTTGTAAACACTCCCTCGTTACGGTACAAATATATTTTTGGAGTGCAAACACGTTTAAAAAAATTATGTAATATTTTCCCCACAGGTAGCGAATTCTGGGAGCTCGGTGGCTTTCAACTGTTCGGTGGAAGGTGGAGATGCTCGTGTGCGATGGTTGCATGATGGAGTCCCGGTGGGAGGCGGGGAGCGGACGCTGAGGGTGCACGGAGTCGTCAGGGCACACCGAGGCATGTACCAGTGCTTCGCCGAGAGGGACTTGGACAGCGCACAGGCTGCCGCTGAACTGAGGCTAGGAGGTAACACAATACTGACGTACTGAGGCAAACATAACGCTAAAATAATATTAACAAATGCTACGTGATTGGCCCCGATAGTAGACACCATTGCGTAAAAGGGCACTTCAAGCCCGGAGCAAGAATGTGTATATGGAGTAATTTGGCCAGAGTAAATACTCGCCTAAATCAATACTATATTACTAATACTTTACTTCAGTGCTTTTCGAAGAGTGTTGCAATGATTTTATATGGGAATTGAAAGGTTTACTTTTCTAAAATCATTGTTTTCAAATGTTTTTAATCAATTACAAACCAAAGTTCAGAAGAATCAATAGATTTGAACAGTTTCACTCGGATCCAAATCAATATTCGATAATTTGATCGTGAATCCTTTTAGATCCCGGTGACACTTGTGAAAACTCGCTGCGATACGTTATGCCGACCCGTCACTCTCGCAGCACAAAGCTATAATCCAGACTCTTTCGAATAAATATAAACTTGGCGTATTTAACACCAATCAGTTTCGCCCCAGTTCCATCATTCATTGTCAGGCCTGCCTACTCAAAAAGTGTTAATTCTACTTGAAATATTTTTGTTCAGACGAACCTCTGCAAGTACACTCGAATCGGCAGAAATGTTCGTTTCGTCTGTTTATTTTATGTTCGCTACTTGAAAAGTTCTCGGGAACCTCTTTAAGAAAACGAGCTGATAAGGTGATTCAATTAAATTATAATAGAACGCGTCGCTACGACTTGGTAAGTACGTGTGACAAATTTAAATGATTTTGAGCATTTTATCAGAAAGGATTTGGCGAAATAATTACGTATAAGTTTTAAGCATCGTATTTCCCCAAATGGCGAAGACGTACAACTTACGTATCTGTGATATAAGTGTTGTTGTCTGTAAGAACTTTGCCTATTTATCTTGGATCCAGAAAAACTCGATAGTCCTTACGGAATTAATTCCCTTCAACAAATGTTTAGTCCCATGCCGAGGGTCCATTTGGAATTAATGGACGGTTCAAGGTCATCCTCACGTATTTGTTTAGGACTTGCCAGTTGCGCCATTGTGTTTTTGGGATTACCAGATCACTTTATTTCTTACCTTTTGTTTTTATTTTATTTTATTGACATTGTACGTATTTAGCATGATATATTTTACGATACTTGACTTATGATATTTAAGAAAGTAAATGACAATATTAATTATTTTCAATCCACAATATTTTATAAAAAATAATATGTAAGTTTATTAAAAGGATTTAGTTATTGCTGATTTTCATTAGGTATTGATTACTGAAAAGACAAGAAGGCAACTTCTAAAAATAGATAAAATAAAACAGAAATTGCCATTCCATTTTCGACGGCCTAGTACTATAGCGTAATGTAAAAGATTAAAAATCTAGAACACAGGCTGTGATTTACAAGGTTCACAAAACAAAAAACTGCAGCTGTTAACAGAAGCAAAATAAAAAGCGTTTCTCGAAACGAAAATTGCTTCCTGATTGGCCGATTAACGTCCTTTGAGAGTCGATTGGCCAATCGGAGGCCACTTCGGTTTGTAATTACAACTGGTGTAATTTTGCGGAGTGCAGTGCGGTGCGATTTCGTATGTCGTCGGGTTATTGATTAACGGGGCAGCAATGACTGGACCGGCCATGCGTCACCCGCTGTCACCGCCAACACAAGTCTAGGGAGGAAGCGTTCTTCACATAGGTATTACAGAGTGATTTTATTTCTTTCATAAAAGTTATATCAGATGATTCTTTGACTTTCTTAACGAATTATAATTCAAAACAAGTCATTTATTTGACCTTTCTAAAAATATAGACGGGATTAAACGCAAAAGTAGAAATTCTGAAAAAAAAGGATTTTATCAAAGGTAAATAATTTGTCTTGCTTGTGAAAATTATTATTTAATATCTGTTTTGTAGTAATGATGACCTTTATGTCAATGTTTGTGTTTGAGATACAATCACATAACTGTACTTAAGTACAGAATATATCTCTCATTTCGGCTGGTCATCATCGCTCCAGCCTACAACTTGACAGGGTTCGTTTACTCGTCCAGTGCGATCTATTGCAGGCATCAAGCAGCAGGAGGCTGCACAAAGACATAGTCCCCTGTGATACACCCAAAACCTGTCACTGTATAGGCACACCCTGCACCCTAACTAGGTCACCTAGAACAATGTACTTGCTAAACTAAACCTCATGTATTGTCCCTATGTATCAATAGCTTGTCTCACTTCTATTCAAAGACTGTTTTGGATTCTGTTAATGAATTTCAATTAATTACTAACCACTAATATACGTAGAAGTATCACTATCTGATATTGGAGCTAAACCCGTTAAATAACTGTACTCATAGAATTTCCAACGTTTAGCAGAAAAATGGCAACACCATAAATACAAGGTCTGACAGTGCTAATACGACAAAGTAAGAAATATGCGGGCGGCCGGAGCCTATAATCCCATCCAAGCCTTGCTTCAAAAACTTTGCGACTTCGTTATTCATGGACATTAACGGCGGGAACAGTACATGGAGGAAGAAAATGAAAAGCTTATTATTAATGTAACATTCGTCATCTACCGGCGTACATATTTGATCATTCGATTTATGTTGGAGCCTCCTAATATATTTATTGGTTCCGATAGACCCGCACCTGATGCTTGTGGTGTGCTGCGGCGGTTTGGCAAACATATCCTTTCTTTTTGATTTGTTCTCAACTCTATTTGTATTTGAAGTTAGGTTTTGATTTCATCGACGCACTCAAGGTTTCACAATAACGGAATGTTGCATTGTAGTAGAGGAGGTATCCTGTAATAGTACTCAAAGCTACTATCTTTCCACAATCATCGAGCAATAAAACCTCTTTACCTCCCGACAAAAGCTTTGTAAGGTAACTAGCTCCATACACAGCATATCCTGCAGGTAGTAGTACTCCATTGAGTTTTGCTCGTAAAGGAAAAGAGTGCACAACAATAAGACGTTCTAAGCCTTTAGTTAAATAATACCCTCTCTGTGCAGCATGGTATAGCACAGCTAGTGCTGCACTGTGTAGTGTAATGAAATGTTCAGAAAGGTACACAGCAGCGTACAAACAGTCTTATTTCGTTGGAATTTTGTCATTTGCTTGCAAAGAACCGGGAAAAGCATGGAAAGAGAAACCGCAGAGAAACGCTCACAGTGTTTTGAAAGTAAAATGCGGGGAAATCTAACTGGGAACGTAATAAAGAAATGTGAGCTACAACCTCATATGTCATTCATATCGATAGCATTATTACAATTGGCACTCAGACATAACGACTGAGATAGAAATAAAAAGTTTCCTCATACATTCTGAATCATGCTCAATTGCTTTTTATTTCGGAGTTGGAAGGCAGTGCTGAAGCATCGGCCGTGGCTAATAACTTACCTATAGGCGAGCATGCCTCCTGCTGCGCCCGTTATGGTGGCCATAACTCGCGCAATAATGTCGCGGACAGCCCGTAAGTCAAACCGTGGGATTATCCGGATAGCTCTAATGGAATAATAGAGACGATCTATGACGTCATATATTTTACGTACTTGCTGGATTAGTCGCCTTGAGATATCGGCTCTAATAAATGGTTTTGTTATGTACTAAATACGATATATTTTGTTGGTTGTGTTAGCTGTATGTAAGTAGTAATGTTAATGTTAAGTGTTATATGTTTTTTTTTTTCACTTAGCTAGCTCAGTATTTTAATATTGGGCAAGAAACTTAACAAAATAATTAATTAGTAACTATGGTAGTGAAAAGTTAATTAACACGTTGACAGAGTAGGTACTAACAGAACCCGCAGAACTCGATAATTGCATTATACCCGTTGTTTGTTTGGAATCCAAAGTCCAAACTATTTATTACTTTGGCGATGGAACGCACTTACGCATACCACAAACTGTCCTTAACCCGGTTGACCCACACCGAGCTGGGAAATTTATCAAAGTTATACTCTATGGAATATGTTTTCTATTCTCTTCGTTCCCGTAAATAAAGAGACAGGTATTACAAGTAAAATGTTATATTTTCAAAAGACAATTCTCAACTCATATTATTAAACTAATCTGGGAAAAGTTTTCGTCGTCAGTTTCTTTAACCGAGTTGGCAATGACCCAAGAAATTATTTCATCAAAGAATATAAAAATAAATGATTAAATCTGAAAGCCGCGAGCAGCTTAACTCCCGTTAATTCTGAGCTAAGACCAACATTCCGCGCGAGTAGTTTCTTGCGCCTCAAACTTCGCGAGCCCCTGTTTTAAATATTTTCATTCACGGATTCTGCTTGAGTTTCGTAACAGTTTTAATACTTGCAGAAACTATTTTGAATTAAAATAGTTTTCAAAAGACATCAGTCTAGTAACACTGATTTGTATGTAATACGGATCTCAAACTTTATAGCTTAAGTAATATTGATTAGGGTATATCCTCTAGAGCTACAGTAATGTCTTGACTTGTAAAGTTTCCTCTCACAATTGTCGTAATACTAGTCCTTAATATAGCATGTTATAGGAAGATATCAGTTTCGTCGGGCGCAGGTCGAGTGCGCGCGGTCCAAGCTCTGCATTTCTACGGCTGCTGACGTAGGTTCTTATAAGGTGTCTACGTGGTAAATGCCGCTGTGACTGAGAGTAATATAGCATGTTATACCAGTCTGCCTACAGTCATGTATTGATCGAGCTCAGAACTTCGCGCCCTTTACACAGATAAATGTTTACGCAAACAAAGTGAAATCTAGGTTAAAATAATAAATTCAAACAATCAAAAGTAGATTCCAACACAATTTCCTCCACTCGTTAATCTTACTTCCGATTCTAATTCCATAATTTTATGGAACAATCGGGAAACAATACGTCAAGTAATAAATTAGTCGGTTTGTGCAGGCCGCGCGGCCGGCGGGTAAGCGCATCGCACACAATTATACAATTAGCCGACTATCAGCGAGCATCTGATATAAATTCGCGCAAAACGATACAACGTTTACAAGAGCTAGCGTTGTGAGCGGGCGCTGTGCCAAAAATAATGCGGACTCAGTGATGAGTGGCAGCGACTACTTTTAAATACAACGCATTTTATAATGGTCCTTGAAAATTTTTTTAAAAAAGGTATATTCTCTCTTTACAATTTCATGTTACCGGGCTGAAGTAGATATGCAAAATGGTGTCCAGTAGTATCATTTTGGAGACAATAATTATCTTTATATATATTACCTGGACCAAGTAACAAAGTGCTTGGTCGGCTGCGGTTCGGCTTAAAATGTTAACTGTCATATTCGATTTTTATCTATATAATCGGAACCTAATGAAATACTAATTTCTTCCCAAACGACGAAGTTACCGCGGCCGCCCACACTTGCGCCACACACTGACATATTGTCTGTCAGGGCGTCCGGTACGGCCAGTAATAAAGCTCTCAGAAACGCTGGCCGCTCACAATTTAGACCCTCATAATTCCGGCGGCCATTGTATTCATTCGTTATTATGTTAGTGTTGCGGCTAATTGAATTTATTTGCCAAGATTTATGACTGGACGCTGGCTCCCTCTACCGGCGTGTTTCGGATTGCGAATGCAAACAGATTAAAGGGTTGCTAGTGTTTGAGTGACGCGGCCTGGCCTGTGTGGCGGTCGGCGAGTAATTACTTGAATTATGCTATGCTAGTAGCAAACACAGAGATTACCTCGTTGCCTGAGAGGACGACTGCCCAGCTTTATTGTTATGCTCATATGACTTGGCGTTCACAATTAAGTTTTTATATTAAAGAACTTCTTAATATTATCACATTGCTTGTGATTAGGAAAAAGGCCCTTGTCTTAATACCTTTTTAATATAAAGAGTCTAAGTCACCTCAATATAAAATATTAAAATTTTAATACCCAAGTATGTACCTACATTTAATCAAAATTTATTAAAACATCGCCTGATGAAATGCGGGCCCGAAAGTCCGAATGTAGTATTACATCACTCGGTATCTAACATATTATAACATAAACAATGATGTGTCGGCGTCACGAGTGCGATAAATCCGCCGCTAATGGCAGATACCCCGTTATGATGCGTGATAAACGGCCGCCATACATTCGGCTCTACACTGATTGGATGCTGTGATGTAACACATCGCGAGAATAATTGCTGACTACTTATTACCAGTCGTACAGAACCAATAAACCTACAAGCAGGATAATAAATACGTGTTTTTGTACCATAAGAAAGTTGAAGGTTATTCTATTATTCTCCGTAAGATATTAAGTTTGGAACAGCTGTGGGTATATTATTAAAATAAACCTGTCAAATGTAATGAGCAATTTTCTTTGTTCATTTGATGGGGCGCTTAACGTGAAAGATTTATAGGTGGAGTGAAATTACTTTAGGCATCGCTTCTGTGACCTTTACTTTAATTTGTTTGCAGACACGGCACCGGAGCTGCACTATACGTTCATAGAGCAGGCTTTGCACCCCGGGCCGTCCCTGGCACTACACTGCGCCGCGTCTGGCAGCCCCCCACCACGGTTCACTTGGCTACTAGACGGGCAGGCGGTAGAAGAACACAATACTGCACAAAGGTGATTTCTGTAGTTTCAATGCTTTTGAAATTGGACTATATTGTTATTGTGGTAGGTCGACGCTAGACTTATAACTATTTTTGGTATGGTATTATAATTCGATTTTAAGTTTCTAGACACACTCATAATATTCATCATCAGCCTATAAGTGCCCACTGCTGAGCAGAGGCCTCTTCTCACAAGGAGAAGGTTTGAATTTGTATCACCACACGCTTACTCAATGCGGGTTGGCGATTTCAAATTTATAATTAGAAATTATAAGTTCACGTTTCCTCACGATATTTACCTTCACCGGATGTCATAGGTGCCTCAATAACCATAGAAAGTACATATAACTTGGAAAAAGTCACATTGATATTTGCCAGGTATGAACCCTCACTCTCATGCATGAGAAGCGGGCGCCTTAACCTCGTGGCCACCACGACACTTATTAAAGGATATCAAATATATCTTTCATTTAGTCTGTTATGAAAAACAAAATAGCTTTTGAATAGACTACTAGCAGGTATCTAGTTAGCGTGACCTCATAACGTTGAAAATCAATTCGGATAAGGGTCTGTTTATTGCGTCGTGTCTCGCGCATTACTATACTCATGGGTTTTAAACTTTACTATTAGATCAATTGGAAAGTTTTAAGTGTTATGTAGATCTATCATATATTATGTAGAATATAGATTATCAGCACATGTATGTTGATACTGTTCCTTTTCATTTTTTTCATTTAGAAATTGTCGAATTTATAAAAATCGTGAATAATTATAGTCGTTACGTTGACATATCTCAAGGAAATTATATGATTCTGAATTGTATACTATACTTTCCTATTTTCAGTCAGACAGGCCCCGTGTGGCCCGCGTTGGGCGCTTAGGCAACTGGACCGGGAGCTTTTCCTGGAAGCCGCAGTCGTGCAGGCCTGGGTGATACCACCGGTCAGGCCAGCCGACATTAACGAGGAGGCGAGATGGCTCCAGGACGCCATGTCAAGGATGTGCGACGTGGCGATGCCCCGCATCCGACCGTGCCAACGCAAGCGCCAGGTGTATTGGTGGTCGCAGGAATTGGCAGACCTGCGCGGTGAGTGCACCGCAGCGCGACGCCGATACACCAGGCACCGCAGGCTCCGTCTCCGCCCTCTGGACGCTGAAACCAGAGAGGCGGAGCTATACGAGGAGTACAGGGCGGCGAAGGCCACCCTCAGGGTGGAGATCCGGCGGGCCAAAGATCGGGCCCGCGAGGAGATGTTGGAGACTCTGAACAGAGACCCGTGGGGACGCCCCTACCGGATGGTGCGTGATAAGCTCCGCACCTGGGCGCCCCCACTGACTCAGAGTCTCCGGCCGGAGGTCGTGGACGAAGTGGTTGGGGCGCTATTCCCCCGACCACAGATGGGTTACACGCCTCCGGCCATGCCCCCGCCCCCTGCGGTGCCCAATGCGGGCTACATCGACGACGACGACGAATCCGCTCCGGAAGTGACCGAGGTAGATTTGAGAGTGGCGGTGCGCCGGCTGAGCAGCAAGAATACCGCCCCAGGACCTGACGGGCTGCATGCCAAGGTCTGGGTCCTGGCCTCGGAGGCTCTCAGGCCTCGACTACTTGGTCTGTTCAGCGCATGTTTGGAGAGAGGCCAGTTTCCGCTGTCGTGGAAGACGGGTAAACTGGTCCTCGTGAAGAAGCCGGGGCGTCCTGCGGACTCCCCGTCCGCGTACCGGCCCATTGTGCTACTCGACGAGGTGGGAAAGCTGTTCGAGAGGATAATCTCAGACCGCCTCGTCGGGCACCTGTCTGGAAGGGGGCCGGATTTAGCGGACGGCCAGTTCGGCTTCCGCAGAGGGCGCTCCACGGTGGACGCCATCATGCGCGTGAGGGACCTCACGACGGGGACAGCGTTGGCCGGGAGGCGAGTCGTCGTGGCGGTGTCTCTGGACATCGCCAACGCCTTTAACTCGCTGCCCTGGAGCTGCATTTTGGAGGCACTCCGGTATCACCGGGTGCCTGCCTATCTCCGTCGTGTAGTCGAGGCTTACTTGACGGACAGATGCGTCATCTACCCCGGTCACCGGGGCGTGTGGAATCGGCGAGAGGTGTCGCGCGGTGTCCCACAGGGATCGGTCCTGGGACCTCTCCTGTGGAACATCGGGTACGATTGGGTGCTACGCACCGACCTCCCGAGCGGCGTCAGCATTGTCTGTTATGCTGACGACACGCTGGTGCTGGCGAACGGGAGGTCGCATCAGGCGGCGGCCGACCTGATGTCACAAGCGGTTGCGACAGTCGTTGCAAGGATCCGGCAGTTGGGACTCGAGGTGGCGCTCCACAAGTCCGAGGCCATGTGCTTCTATGGCCGTCGGAGCGCGCCACCTCCAGGTGGGTCCCAAGTAACGGCAGGAGGAGTTACCATCGGCGTCGAGTCGGCGATGAAGTACCTGGGTCTCGTCCTCGACAGCCGATGGAACTTCACGGAGCATTTTCGTCGTTTGGCCCCTAAGCTAGAACGGTCTGGGGCCGCGCTCAAGCGGCTCCTTCCCAACCTCGGGGGGCCAGACGCCTCCTGCCGGAGGTTGTATATGGGGATTGTGCGATCCATGGCCCTCTACGGTGCCCCTGTGTGGGCGCCGGACTTGAAGCGGCGGCCGGCTCGTACGCTGGTCGCGTCCCAGAGGGTCATGGCTATACGAGTAATCCGCGGGTATCGCACGATCTCCGGGGAGGCGGCGAACCTCCTTGCTGGATCACCGCCGTGGGATCTAGAAGCGAAGGCGCTCGCGCGCGTCTACAGTTTGCGCGCAGACGCACGTCGCCGGGGCGAAGATCCTCTGCCGCGCCAAATTAGTGCGTGGCGGAATGAGCTCCGGCGAGATCTCATGGCAGAGTGGAGACAACGACTGTCGCAACCGAGGGCCGGGCACGCTACCATAGCAGCGGTAAGACCCCTCTTTGAGGAGTGGCTTGAGAGACGCCACGGCGTCCTCACCTTCCGTCTGACGCAGGTGCTTACCGGGCACGGCAGCTTCGGTAGGTTCCTGTTTCGGATTCAGCGGGAGGAAACGCCCGAGTGTCGTCATTGTGAGGACCACCTAGAGGATACGGTGGAGCATACGGTAGCGGTATGCCCTGCCTGGGCAGCACCGCCGTATCCTCAGGGAAGTGATCGGCGGCGGCGACCTCTCGCGCCCGGCCTTAGTCGAGGCCATGGTGCGGAGTGAGAGGAACTGGGACGCCGTCTCCTCCTTTTGTGAAGCAGTCATGCTCGCAAAGAGAGAGGCGGCCCGCGTGAGGGAGCAATCCTCCTCCTCACGCCCCAGCAGCCGCAACTGGCGACACTACGGGCGTCGGGGATCGAGGGACGATCTCCGGCCACCGTAAGTACGGGCCTGCGGTCGGCGAGTAAGGGCAGCTCGCCGCCCGACCAGAACCAGGCCCGAGCGTACGGCGCGTAGCGTTCCGCGCGCGCCTCAAAGAGCCAATAGACCACCACAGACGGGGCCCTAAAGGGCTGATGTTCAGCCGGGGTTGCGGGGTAAGCGCAATGAGGCACCGCGACCTCGGCACAGAGCAGGAGAAGGAACAGGGGGGTTTTTAGTCAGTAAGAGTCTGACACTCCCTCCTGCCCGGCCCTGGGCGGGAGAAGTCATTTGATGATTTTCCCCTCACAAAAAAAAAAAAAAAAATACTTTCCTATTTTAGCACGTAGATTTATTTGAGCACAAATGAGTGCAAAATTATTTCATTTTCTGTTACCTATTTACACATGTTAGAGTATTTATAGTGACTTATGAGAGCAAGGAAGAAATTTTAAATCAGTCTACAAATACATGTCTGTGATGGTCTATCTCAGAGGTTACAAATTCAATGTCAGTTCATCACACATTAATGGCATGAAAAATACCGAACATTAAGAATATCGAATTGTAAAATACATTAAATTAATTCAAATCCTCCGCAAACGGAGGTCATCGGTGACCCCCGTAGCGTTTAACGTGTTAAATAAATGTATTAAAACCTATGTTTAGCAATGAACGTCTTTCAGCTCATTATGATGATGAAATAAATGACACAGTATTTTACGTAACTTGTGATTCCAGAAGTATAAGTCAGTTCCTGAACTCGAACGGGGATGTGGTGAGCTACATGAATCTGACATCAGTGCGGCCTGAGGATGGCGGCCGGTATACCTGTAGGGCGCACAACTCCAGGGGAGCCGTTGAGCATTCCACCAGGCTTAATGTATATGGTGAGAACCACGTTAAATTACAAAGCACTGCTTAAAGTTAAAGTTAAACATAAGTCGTAGTATTTTTTCAAGAAGACCTGAAAAGACACGAAGATCAACCCATACAAAATAAATGTGCCCATTTTCTTGAACTGAAATTATTTGTTATGATCCCTAAATGCAAAAGTATGACTTAAACATTCTTGAATCATTCAGAAGAATTAAAATTTTCGTTCACTTGTTCAGGTCCACCTTCAATCCGTAACATCGGTCCTGTGAGGGTAGTGGCCGGAGTGAACACCACCATCTACTGTCCATTCTCCGGATTTCCAATCAGGTTGATGGAGGTGCATTTGCTTAGTAAAATTATAAGTTTCATTTTGTTTCGTTTTTGTAGATCGATGTTAGATTACTTGATTTTGTATACTCTTACATTGACGTTTGTAGTGTTGTGATTCTTCTTTGTAGTTTTCCCTGACCTGTTTTCCATTTTGCTCACTTTCTTCCAATACCTCTCCTCTTTTTCAAATTTGAGATCCATTTTAAAACAGTCACTAATAATATTCTTAACTCAACAGATACAAATAATGATCTATTTAAAATACCAAGAACATCGTAGTCCCATAAATAAAGCATGGAATTTTCTAGTGAGATTCGGTGGCAACGTGGTGGATTGGACGTCAGCTCTACGGGAGGCCGCGCGCTATCAGGAGTAGGAGGGGAACTGCTGTTGTGGCCAGCAGAGCCTGCTGATGCAGGGGTCTACTCCTGCAGAGTGACATCACCATCGGGACAATATGCTCAGAAAGATGTTCAAATTTTTGTGAGAAGTAAGTTTCTTTAGGAAATAAAACTCATTTCAATTATTTAATCACTGATTATGAACGCTGTTATTCTGAATTATTTTAATGGTTTCAGATCCACCAAAAATCGCCGGGTTCTCGTTTCCACTTGATTTAGTAGAGGGCAGTTCTATACAAGTACTGTGTGGGATCACGTCAGGTGACAAACCAGTTTACTTTTCCTGGCTGAAAGATGGACAGCACATACCATCAGGTTTACAGGTGGGAAACTGTTCAAGGGAATACTACTAATTTTGTTTGAACTTCTTTATTTCAATTCCGTGTTTTTTTTCTAGGTTCAAGAGAAATCACTGGACGAGTTCAGTTTCTTGATATTCTCTCATGTTACGTCAAAACACAGCGGTGACTACACTTGCGTTGCTAGCAACTCCGCAGCAGAAGTTAACCACACCGCCAGATTGGCTGTAAAAGGTTTTTGTTAAGCCTTTATTTGAAATATCTATAATAAAAACAGCGATGCTCTTGATAACTATTTTATGATTTGTTACAGTGGCTCCATCATGGGTGTATGAGCCTCAAGATGTATCAGCTCTTTTAGGAACCCAGATCTTAGTACACTGTTCTACTAAAGGATACCCTGAACCGAGGATATCTTGGCTCAAAGGTCATGGTAAGGACATTCAAAATTAACTTGAGCTTTTTTTTATTTATTTATCATTTTTACAAATATTACTATTATTTATGTTAAATAGCAACCAAAAAACCACTAAGGTTTAAACTTGTGCTATCCTGAATCATCAAAATCGAAAAAAAAAATTTGTTACAGTTTTATAATTAAGTATGTGTACGTTATTATCGAAATTAATTTATACAATCTTTGCAATCTTTGTGTCAATCAGTAGGAGAAAACATTCTTAAATAATACTTAAGTAATATTTCTTAAGTTTACATTTAATATTTTTAGGTTTAATATTACTTTTTATTTCTGAGGGTATGCTATTAATAAGTCGTGGTACAATATACCCGCTAGTTCGCTCGCCATACGTATTGTTGGCGCGCTGTGTACGAAACTTATTCTCAGAAACTGCCCGAGTGCATACAGGATGTTCGATTTTGTTTAGTAAATTTTCATTGAAAAATTGTTCTTTTAATAACTGAAAATGTATTTGAGTATAAACTGGTAGGACATTACAGTGCTTAAAGAGACCATTTATATTATCAGCTATATTAATATCTTTTATTTAATTTTCTTGACATTAATGAAATGCTTTACTTCAGGTTCTGGAGTGAGTGATTTCCGACCAGTTTCAAATCTGGATCTTCAGTTTTCTGTACTTCCCAACGGAACCCTGAGTATAGCGCCAGCTGCTCATCATCATGAGGGACAATACATGTGTCGGGCAGAGAATGGCATTGGGAGGGGGCTCTCAAAAATCATTGCGGTATCAGTCAACGGTGAGTACCTACAACAATAAAATATTTATTTATCATGTTTTACAAGGCATTTACAAAAAAATTAACAACATTTTTTCAGAGCCGGCTCATTTTGAATTTTCTTCACGCAATATGACTGTAAAAAGAACTGCACAAGCGACACTGCAGTGCGATGCACGCGGAGATCCACCCATACAACTGCAGTGGACACACAATATGAAGAGGGTGGATCTTACTACTTATAGGTAATGTTCTAAATAATTCGAAAAATTTTAATATCTTCTACAGTACCTGCTTAAGTACTAAATCGAATCATGTTTCCAGGGTATCAGTGTCAGAAAAGCGATCAGAAAGCGGCGTGAGCTCCCAGCTGAGCATAGCACACGCTGAGCGTCATGACTCCGGAGTGTATCGCTGTCGAGCTGAAAATGCATACGGCAGAGATGAACTACTCATATATCTTGCAGTCCAAGGTAACTTTACAGCCATTAAGTAAATTCAATACTATCACTATTACCATCGGTAGTTTTATAACCTATGATATCCCAATTGATTAGGCCAAAGTAAGGGCGTAAACAGCTAAGTAATCTGTGAGAATTTTTGCATTTTAGAATTCCCAGAAGCCCCAGTAGGGCTGCACATATCCCGTCGGTCGGGTCGCGGTGCGTCCCTGTCATGGCGGCGCGGGTATGACGGCAACGCGCGCGTGTTGCTGTACCGCTTGCAGTATCGCGTCGTGGGGGATACACGGAGACCTGACGCAGGAGACTGGGCTGACGCACCCACCAGAGATGTGCCTGCTGAAAGGGTTGTTGAAAGGTGACTTAACAAGAGTTGTAATAAAGAAAAAGCTTTTTACTCACCGTACTTGCAATAATACTCTGGTATTCAGTCTAGTTGAGTATTGTTCACGTAATATATTCTTTTGTGATTACAGACAAGATCTCGAGTCGGGTTCAGAAGTAAACCTAGAATACAGGGTAGAGGGGTTGCGACCAGCCACAGCGTACGCACTGAGACTCGCTGCAGTGAACGCTATAGGTGACAGTGACTACTCGGAACCTGTCATTGTACAGACTTTAGAAGAAGGTTAGTTATTTATATTTACACTGATCAAGGTAAACATATATGTAACTAGTTGAAAAATGAAGGAATATTTTTGTTATGTAACATTTTATACGACCCATTATTACCCACTGAATATAATATATTTATAATCCTCTATAGTATGTACCTGCAAAAAGTGTATGATTATAATTTAATTTTTTGTTTTTCAGCTCCATCAGAACCACCACACAACGTACAAGTGCAGGCAACAGCACCAGGAGAGCTGCTCGTGAAATGGCAGGTGAAAATTGTGGACAATCACAAGCTCCGTTTATTTCTGAAGCCACGAGACACTTATAGTTTGAATTATTGCTCTAGGCACCACCACAAGAGTCATGGAACGGTGAGCTCCTAGGCTACGTGGTGACATGGCACGAGGCAACATCGCTGGGGGACAACAAGACGTCAGCGCTGACGGCAGCGGGGTGGGGCGCGGCGCACGCGGTGCTGGTGTCGCTGCGCACGCACGCGCAGTACGAGGTGCGGGTGCGCGCCTTCAACGCCGTCGGCGCCGGCCCGCCCTGCGCACCGCTCACTGCCACCACTCTCGAAGGAGGTCAGATACCATTACTTAAGATCCCTAAGCTTGCTTGCTTGCTAAGTTGCGGTTCAACAAATATTTGATCTGAATTTAATGACATTCTCATAATATAATCCGTAATTACATAACAATTGAGAAAATTTTATAACCATTATCAAAAGTTTATCTTTCTATTTAGCTCCGGAAGGTCCGCCAGAAAGAGTGCGCTGCGAGCCTTTGTCAGCGCAGTCAGTACGCGTGTGGTGGGAGCCACCACCTCCAGCGCTCAGAGGTGGAGTGTTGCTGGGATACGAAGTATTGTATGAGGTAAGCCTGCACGTAGCAAATGTATGATTATGCTTTATTATTTTTGAATGTTTATGTATATAGGTATATATATATTTTAATGTATATATACCTATACATAAACATTCGTGTCGTGGTGGCCCCGAGGTTAAGCGCCCGCTTCTCATGCATGAGGGTGTGGGTTTGAAACCGGGCAAGTACCAATGTGACTTTTTCCTAGTTATATGTACTTTCTGTGATTATTTAGACACCACTGGCATGCGGTGAAGGTAAGCATCGAGAGGAAACCTGGACTTATAATTTCTAATTATAAGTTTGAAATCGCCAACCCGCATTGAGCAAGCGTGGTGATTAATGCTCAAACCTTCTCCATGTCAGAAGAGGCCTTTGCTCAGCAGTGGGCACTTATAGGCTGATGATGATGATGATGATATTTTTAATTCTTTTATATTATAACGTCAGATTAAGATTTTTGTAATTATTAACTGTATTTTCAACATAACTATTTTGGACAGACCGTCGACGAATTGGAGAGTCAAGTCGAGACCCGTCGCTCTGGTGGCATGGAGACAGTGCTGCAGGCGTTACAGCGAGCTGCCAACTATAGTATAGCGGTGCGCGCTAGGACCGCAGCTGGGACCGGACCTACTTCTGAACCAGTTTATTGTGCCACACATGAAGATAGTAAGCGACATTCAATAAAAATATAATATAATTCAAGTTCAAATTGACTGAATTTTATATGAATTGTATTCTTAATATCTTCAGTACCAGGGGCTCCAATGGATATAAAAGCAGTAGCTAACTCAGAAGATACAGTGATCGTAAGTTGGCTTGCACCACTTCAGAAGAATGGCAAGATCAAGCATTACACTGTTTATAATAGACCACAAAGGTTTGTACCTTTTTGAATTCTTCAGTAAGATTTCAGCTATTACAATTGATGACAAAATGATGGCAATTGTGACTTATTTACAGAACAGGCCAGCACTCCCACATTATGGTACTCCACACAGAAGAGGAAGAGGAGTATCAAGTAGAAGTGAGAGGTCTTCAAGAACACATAGTGTACGAGTTTTGGGTGACGGCGGCTACTTCGTCTGGTGAAGGAGAGATGAGTGCTATAGTCGCTAGGAAACCGAATCCCAGAGGTGAGACTTTAGTGTATCTGGATGTTATGCGCTACAAGACCAAATAAATAAAAAAACTAATGAGTGTAAAATAAATGTGCAAAATGTAATAGAAATAAAAGAAAGTTTCAACTGAGTTGTTGTATAGGTATGTCCATTATCTGATTAAGTATTTTAGACTACAACAATTTGTCTAAAGTTTAGAACTGGTGACTGATGACATAACTGAAAGATACCCGAGGAAACTCAACAGATAATTAGCTAGTTTTAAGGTCTCTCTTATTTGAACTGATAATATTTTTACGGATATTTTTGTGGGTTGTAAGTCGTATAAATATGTGTACAACCTTGTATTAAACATAAACAGTTTTATTGCATTTTAGTTATTTGATTTTGTTAATTTTGGTTAATGATGTAGTATCATATTGTAGTAGTAAAATAAATTGTTGAACAACTAAAACAATGAAATATAAATAATGTATTTATAGTCAAAAAAATTTTTTCTGTTAGCACCAGCGAAAATTACATCGTTTGGGCGTCGACTGGAGGTGAAGGAAGGCAGTCGAGCGCGCGTCACCTGCGCTGCAGCGGGCGCGCCGCCCCCACACCGCGCCTGGTCCCGCCGCCGACCCGCACCTCCTCTAGCTCACGATGCTAACTTCCTCATCGATGGACCCTACCTCATAATCCTTAGTACGTATACTTTTATTATAAATTCTTAACTATCATAAACCTTAGTGTCTAATATCTATCTGTAAAAAATACATCAACTTTTTTATGTGGTATGGAGGCCATAGATTACTTGATGGTAAGTAATCAGCGTCGCCCATGAACACCCGTAGAACGGAGGAGTTACGAGTGCGTCGACGACCTTTTTGGGATTAGGGTTTTGGGGATTTAAGGATCGGGGAGTGATTAGGGGAAGGGAACGATTGTCGCTCCGATTATCTCAATCACACGGCGAAAAACAACACTGTAGTTGACTCAAGCCGATTTCCTGTAAGGCCGTAGTATCACTTCGGTCGAGCTGACCCATTCATGCCGAAGCTTGATTCTCCCGCACCTAAGCTAAGCTTTAAAAGTAAAAAAAAAACTGAAATTTTGATTATGCGATCGTAAGTAATAAAAGGGTAAAAAAGGTTTTCTAGGGCTATTGTGCTAGTAGCTATTAAAAGTAATGATTTTACTTCCAGAGGTGGACCGCAGCGCGGCGGACAACTACTCGTGCTCGGTGCGCAACCCGTGGGGGGAGGAGCGCGCCGCTTGGGAGCTGCGCGTGCTGGCGGCGCCGGCGCGGCCCCAGCTGCGGCTGGCCGCCGCCGCGCCCGCCCGCCTGCAGCTACTCTGGGAGAAACCCCACGCCGGGGGATCTAACCTGCATGGTAAGCCGACGACGACGACGACTCCTACTCACTGAAAACCCCCCCTGTTCTTTCTCCTGCTCTGGGCCGAGGCCGCGGTGACTCATTGCGCTTAACCCGTAACCCCGGCTGAACATCAGCCCTATAGGACCCCGTCTGTGGTGGTCTATTGGCTCTGTGAGGCGCGCGCGGGACGCTAAGCGCCGTACGCTCGGGCCTGGTTCTGGTCGGGCGGCGAGTTACCCTTACTCGCAGTCCGGCAAAATCGGCGTGAAACAACCACAGCGTTGTGTTTCGCCGTATAAGTGGGGTTACCGGAGGCTTAATCCTCCCCCTCCCCTAATCCCTACCCAAACCTGAAATCTCCAAATCTTTAAAAGATCAGCTTCGCACTTGTAACTGCTCTGTATTTACGGGGGTCCACGGGCGGCGCTGATTGCTTACCATCAGGTAATCCGTTTGATCGTTTGCCGACCTAGAACATAAAAAAATCTCATTTACACAGCGAAACTCAACGCTATGCTGGTTTTCTGTGAGGCTGTGGTATCATTCCAGTCGAGCCTACCCATTTATACCGAAACTTAGCTCTCCCAAACTTGAATAATCATCGATACATTATAGTTTTCGCCGTTGTTTTATTTTCAGTTTTAGGGACTTTTAATAAATTTATATAATTTTAGGGAATTTTAATCTTTTGATTTCTAATGACAGTCTTTACATGTTCCAGGCTACATTCTGGAGTACTGTCGGTCGGACGCCAGCAGATGGCAGCAGACTCGTCTCCCGGCCGACACGCGCACGCACTCGCTGGAGCGGCTGGCGTGCGGCACGCTCTACAAGGTGCGCCTCACTGCGTACAACGCGGTCGGATCCTCGCCGCCCAGCGACGAACTGATTGTCTCCACTAAAGGAGGACGTAAGTTTAGTTATTTTTTAATTATTTTAATTTTTACACTTATTTATGAACAAAGCGTCCTTTCTCATACACGAAGCGTATTGTGACCGTGTCTATGAAAACGAAACGATTGTGAATGATACGTATTGTTAAAACGTTTTGGTCTTATAAAATAACGGACATCAATGTGATGCTGGTCCAAACCTTTGAACATTTAATTTATTAAAGGGTTAAAAATCTGTCAAGAACTAAATGACGAATAAAGGAATAACATTTATCAATTACTTTATTCAAGTTTAACAAAATATTTTCCAGCATCGAAAGCATCACCCGAGAAGGACCTGATCACAACGAACAGTACGTGCGTGCGGCTCAACTTACTGACATGGGACAGCAATGGATGCCCTCTGACACAGTTCTCAGTATCTGTGAGGAGTTTCGAGGAGTCGTCGTGGATGACACAGACTGTGTCACCGGCAGCACAGCCCACTGTTATTTGTGGCTTGACATTGGCAACTTGGTACCATTTGAAAGTGGTTGCAGTGAGCGCCGCGGGGACGACGCTTGGCAACTACTACTTCTCTACTCTAACTGAAAATGGAGGTACGTGAAGTCCTACTATATAATTAAGTAGTTTCAATAAATTATTAAAATAACTATACTTTTGTTCATCGATCTGTCGATACACAAAATGTATGATATTTATTAGCTAATTATTGATAGATCAGTAAGCTATGCGACGCAGAAATACCAAGACGTCGTGATAATTTGGAGTTTCCCACAAATTTCATAGAAAAGTATCGTTTTTGAAATTTGGACAAAAGTATTGAATTTGACTAATTGGAAACTGCCGTATTGTTTGTATTAACTATTCGGGATTTTTGATTCATTATTTTGCTCCACAAAGTTATATTATAAGAATAATTGTCATCTAGACCGCATACCGGCACCGGCTCACTTCCCCCCCGGAGGTGAGGAGGGGGAGGAGCGTGCGACGGCCGTCCTGGCTGCGGCCGGCTGCGGGCTACTCGCTGCACTGCTGCTACTCGCTACACTGGCTTACAAACGAAGGTAACATTACAAAATACAGTACAATTACCGTTAGGGAAATTTGTGATGTCTTCTTTGGTTTTAAGAAAGAAAGAAAGAAAGAAAAGACATTTATTCAGCACCAGGCACGATGCAGCATAAAAAAGACAATAAAAGTGTGACAGTAGAAGTAAGACAAACATGAGTTAAAGATTAAAACAGATGAAACAGAAAATAGACGCTACAACATGCCCATGCTAAATGGGTTACCCACTCAGTGTAAGCTAGGTATACAAGTCGCCCAGCACTGATTTTCAGTGGGCACCCCTGCAGTGACGCACGGATGGTAGCAACGTTTTATGGCTAGACAAAGACAAACAAAAATATATAAGTATATAATATGTATGTATAATAAGTATAAAGATACAAAAATGGAATACATATTAATATAATAAAATGTACAGAGTAATATAAAATAAAATAATAAGAAAAATGTAAATAAATACATAGTACCTACACATGACAGAATGCAGGGCATTGGTTTTACACCCTTACACCCTTATTGATATTTCCAGTCCATCAGCATCGTGCTTCAGAAAAGGTTACGAGCAGGGAGATATCTCAGAGGAGGAGGATAAGTCAGTGGAGAAGCGGGACAACAGGCGGAACTGTCAACAGGTGTACACGTCCTCTCCCATCAAGCATCCTATTGGGAAGAAAGATCAACAAGGTATATACCCATTTCCAACCGTGATACAGTATTATTATAATATATTGTAATAAAAACAATTCGCAAATATTTTTATTCATCTTCTAATCAAAATGGCAAACACATAATAGCTGGAAAAAGAAATCTCATGTAGTGATAATAGTGCATTATGTTACAAGTTTGTAATGTTGGTGCCTACAGCTGAGGCGCGTTGAGGCCCGAGCCGTGACGCGAGGGTATTAAGAAGCCGAGGACTGCATCAATACACACGTGTATCATTCGACGTTTATCAACACACTTCTGAATAAAATGAAACTTAACAAAAAAACTTCAAAAGAGACGATTTGTGAAAATAATTTCATAATGGCGGGAAAAATTATCAGTTTACCTATATGCGCGCGCATCGGCCATAGACTAAAAAATAATGGTACTATTTTTTGGGCTTTCGTCTATGACATTTTAGTGCAAGTGTATAGCGTAACTAAACCAATACATAATTAAAACTCTTGGTATGTGCCTCCAGAGATGTACGAGATAAGTCCGTACGCGACGTTCAGCATGTCGGGCGGCGCGGGGGGCGCGGGGGGCGCGGGCGGCGCGGGCGCGGAGGCGGCGGAGGGCGCGGCGGGCGGCACGCTGCGCACGTTCGGGCGCGCCGAGCCCGCGCCGCTGCAGGCCGCGCCGCCGCGACATCTGCACCACCATCTGCATCACGACAACGCAGGTCTATACTATATCATCGTGCTCACCATCACCTCTGTTTTGTCTAATATAATAATTATTTAAACCTTTGGTTTTCATTGTTTCGAGTTTGAATGTTCTTGCCCGTTTGTACCTATAGCTCAGCGAGGATATATCATCGTCTTGTCAGAGCAGTTTTTTATAGATCCACATGTGAATTGCGATAGAGAGCAAACAAATATGTGCAGTAGAGTGATACTGATCATGCACCACTTATAGCAATTTTATTTTCATCCTTAATTTTTTTATGAAAATAAATATGCAGCGATGTACGAGTATGTATTTTTTCCTAGATGAGTACACGTTGTCTCGAGCGATGACGCTGATGGTGCGTCGTTCGGAGTCTGACTCAGACTCGAGCGGCTCGCCATGCGCCGAGTGTAACTCCAGCGTCTCCTACAGGATGCCTGTCACGCCGGGGAAAGGTGAGATCATTGCAGCTTTGATTAGACGCCTTAGCCAAAAACACTACTTTGATTATTCTATGAATAACAAACCAGGGATCATCCATAAAGTACGTCACACGTAAAGGGGAGTAGGTGTACAAATTGTGACCTGGTGTGACAAGGGGTAGGAAGTTTGTTGACATCTTATTTATCGATGTAAAATTGCAAAACATGTCATCATCATCAGCCTATAAGTGCCCACTGCTGAGCAAAGGCCTCTTCTCACACGAAGAAGGTTAGAGCATTAATTTTATTTATTTATTTATTTAAACTTCATGCACAATGGGTACATAGGCGGACTTAATGCCTAAGGCATTAAGTCACCACGCTTGCTCAATGCGGGTTGGCGATTTCAAACTTATAATAAGAAATTATAAGCCCAGTTTTCCTCACGATGTTGACCTTCACCGTATGTCAGTGGTGTCTAAATAACCATAGGAAGTACATATAACTCGGAAAAAGTCACATTGGTACTTGCCAGGTTTCGAACCCACACCCTCATGCGAACCTCTCCTTAACCTCCGGGCCACCACCACGACAGCAAAACATGTGATGTCACACTATCTCAGAAATGTCAAAAATCATGAAATACATGTGACGTACGTTATGGATGACCCCCAACCGAAACTCAAGACATTGATTTTGTCGATCGCGTGGTACTACTCAACATAGAAATATAAAGGTGTGGTTTCAGACGAGGTGTTCCGCGCAGTGACGGACTCGAGCGCGGAGTCGGCGGGCGACGCGCGGTCCGTGGCGCGGCCGCACGACAAGGCGCGGCGCCGCCCGCGCAGGCACCACACGCCCACTGCGTCTAGGTAAACTCTCTATTAGGTAAACGCATATTTTCACACTAGGACAGGTTTCTATGTCTCTCTCTTGCTGTGAGTACTTATTACAAAACCTTGTCAGACCCTCGTACTCATCTCATTCCTCTATTATTCATTTTTTCACCCTTTTCCTCCTAGTAGAAGACTGAAGTGTGCTCACATGTCAGTAAAAGTTGTTACTTTTACTTTCTGTCTGTGATGTTACGAATTTTGTGTCGGTATTCCTATTTCAAAAACAATAACGAACAATAAAGCGACTGAAAGTTTCAGAAATATTTATCAAAGAAATATTTATTCTAGTATGGGATCATCGAAAACCTTTCATAGTTTTTGGTTTTTCTTTACTTTTTCATGGGGAGAAAATCATCAAATGACTTCTTCCTAAATGTCCTGAGAATATCAGACCAACTTAAATTTGCCCCATTTTTTTTCTACTACTTGCCGGGCCGTGGTAGATAATTGCGCTCGCATTCACAATACCGGATTTTTCCCTCAAATAAAGCATCTATTATAATGTATTTTAAAGACAGCCATCTAACTTTTCAAGCAAGCATTTTCTAAACCAAGTGACCATGTCCCTTCATTTCGTAGTTTCACTCCCAGCTGTTACTAGATGGTGTTGTATGACGTAGATAGAATTGTACAGCTTAGTGATCTTAACTGCTGTTAGATGGCGCTGTTTTATTTTCCCAGATACCAACAGCGGCAAGAACAAGAGAGAAGAGATTTTACGATACACGTATAGGTACGACGACAATAAAGACTGCTACAAGCGAAATACTATTAAATTGTTACCTAGCTAATTTATCGTTTTAGCTCTAAGAGATTTTAATAAAAAAAATTAATGTAAATATTTTAGGACGTTTTGTACTGTGTTGGATTTGAAAAAAAAATATGCGGCCTATTTGGTGTCACTAAATTAATTTTTTATTGAATATGTAATTAACTTTTGCAAAGAAGTGTTTCTTCTAAACTCCCATTTTTGTAGAGAATCCATAGTCGGTTAAATTAACTATTCCAGTACACTGTAACAATAGTCGTAATATAAACATTAAACAAATCCAGAATCATATCTGACGAAATGTAAAAAGTAGAACTTAGATAATATATTGTAAGACGTCAATAATGTAAGTACAAGAAGATTTTATTGTTAGTGTTAAAGGACGAGAAAATACGATTTTCCTGTTTGAAAACGGGGTCGGTAGATGGCGTTATTTAATGTATTTTAATAATTTCGAGTGTTCAACATGTTTTTGATTACTTTTAAGAAGCTCAAGTTATGGTGTCGTTATTATTGTGTATTCTTGTATATTAAACTCTATACACCTTCCTCAAATGTAGGTTAATATTGTTTTATCTGAAACATGGTCATTTTTATATCTTCTATGAGTCAAATCGTAATTTAAGTGTAGCAATAAATAAACGAATTCGTGCCAATTAAATTGACATCAGTTGTGGAACTTATTTTACCGAACTTTTTGTAAAATAAATATGTTTACTAACGAGTAACACTGGTTAATGTCATAACTGTTGTGGCTTGTAAACTGGACTTTTGTTGCCAACCACGAATATAAATAGATTTAACTTATTACACATATATACTACAGTAAACTATGATAAATATGCGATAAAATTACAGTTTTTCAACTTTTGTATTGAGCACAATTTTACCCCTTTGTACTAAATTGATATACTCAATCATTTATAGTGATCTAAAGTTAAACTTGTTTTGTACTCTTGTATTAAGTTAACTATAGGTATCCTAGCAATAGCAATGAACCGATCTACTCAAATCTTATGTTAACTGTCACTGCCTACGTGTTTGCTACTGTACATATTTTAACTGAAACGAAAAATAAAATGGAATAAAATCATCATAGTGTTTTATTGTCCACTACCTTTCTATTGAAATTGAGGAATTCCATTACCTTTTTAGTAACTTATTCAAACCTCTTCAGAGGCAATCAGAGGTATGTCATTTATTTAGTAGTTGAATTTATTTTTGGTTCATAAATTAACAAGCTTCGGTAACATTGGGTAAGATTTTATAAGGGTGTGATAATTAATATTAATTACATGAAGAATTAATAAACGTGAACAACCCTAACAAAGAAGTGTGCCTCACGGGCATTCGATAGTAGAGTCAAAGGATTTGGAAAGTCAATAAATAAATCTAATTAACAAGTTATGATAAGAGCCAATCACACATTACCTAGTTATCTGGTCTCATGACGAACATAACTTCCTCCATAATGTCCTTCTTGCATAAATAGCTTTCTTGGCATTGCCATTTTTGTCAAATCTTGGCATTTAATAGTTGCTCCCAGCTCCAAGATGTTTCAATTCCGTATCTGGCACAAAGCCACCACCAAATTATCTACACTATCTCTGGCAATCATTCTGTGTGGAATCGGGCACATTGCTGAACAATTGCTGCAAAATTGTATGTTAGATTTCTACACAAAATTCAGTAGCGGATGGATACGCAAATGGATTGGTTGCTAGACCACAGATAGTTGACTTCATTATAAGATCTTAAAAAAGTAGGTAGACTGTTCTAGTTAACATCTTTATCATTTAATAATCTCACTAATAACTTCTGAGTACTTAAAACAATGAAATTACAAAGAGAAAACGAAAAAGATCTGCTAAGTAATGAGCAATATCTTAAGATCTTTCTATCTTACATATAACTTACTCAAACACTAGACTAATCTAAGTAAAATGGCTCATTAATTTCTACTGAATTGCTGATTGTAATCGATTGGCTACGACATAGCGAACCGTAGCCGTCGTAGCAAGATGTGCTACGAAACTACTACGAAAACCTAATTACATTGAAATAGAGCTATTGAGTTATAAAGTCGAGATAATTGTAATTAGACAATAAACATTGTTTATTTTGTTGTGTCAAATTGAATTTGATATCCTGTGACTTGTATTCTATTACAACGTGGGATTGTTGAACTTTGTTTTGTTGTTGCGCTAATCAAACTTTTGTGGTAAACAATACCTGAGCGATGCCTAGTTTGCCTTGTGTGGCTGATGTTCGGAGTTTCTGTGCCGTGATTAATTAGCTGTATGTAAGTATAGAACTGATAGCAAGTGGTGTTTTATGGGGATGAGCTTGGATATAGCATTGTTCCATATTAGTTTACAAAATTAAAACTTGTAATAATCTAATATCCGATTTAAATATTATAATTTTTTCATTGTATTTTGTTGTCCTGTTACTTCAAACTTTTATTGTATTTGTTTTTTTTTATTGTTGTATTTTTTGTGTTTTATATGGGCCTTCATGTCTCAGTCCGAATAAAAACAGTTTTCTTTCTTTCTAATTCTTCGTTAAGTACATAATAACTGGTATTTTCGTCTATCTATAGTGCCTACCGCTAGTACACGTGTGTATGCACTAATTGGTCGACCGCAGAACAGCGGTCTAGTGATAAATTGCTGCTGCCATATGCTACCGCAGGCTAGCTCAATGGTACCGACCTACGGATACCACAGACAGATAAATACGGTAGATCCATATTATACACTACACATTCAAGTTTTTGAAACAAATTACTGAGTCGTGTCTCGATATAGATCTATTTCATATTACTTAAACGTATGATTTGTATTGTCATGCAATATTGGTAATAATGACTACATAGATGAAATCTAATATTCTCTACCACGGTAATATTCGGAAACGTAAACCGCTCAATAATATTCCTCGAACGAAGTCTACTTCAATATCCCATTTCATTTCGGCATCTCACATAGTCGGCGAGATCAATTCGCACGTATCAAGAGTGCAGCATCCGATGTGAATATTGAGATGCTGAGCATCTCTCCAATTCCGTGAAATGTGCAGAGTGACGAGAGCACCGCTGGGACTCGTGGTCACTGCAACTTAAATAAATAATCTCGGTACTTCGAGAATATGAAGTGACGTAAATTCGAGTTCTCAGTTCTTAACATAAAACGATAAAACTTGTTTTAAACAGTTAGAAGTAACTTTTGTGTATTGTTTCATTCTTATTAATATATTACTGAAATTTAAAATCGGCCTAAAGTAACACTTACACTGTGTTTCGCCGTGTGATTACTAGAGGCCCAATTCTGCCCTACCTCAGGTTCTATCCTTAAATTCATAATACCTCACAAGAGGCTGGCAACGCACTTATAGTTACTCATTTGGTACTACGAGTGTCCATTGGCAGCGCTGATTGCTTACCATCAGGTAATCCGTCTGCTCTTTTGCCGACCTATGATAAAAAAATATATGGATTCATTAATATTGTCTTCGAGTGTAGCTGTGACTGTCTGTCACTTACAGTTCCCCTGGTAGCGGCTGTTAAACGATTTCTTCTGAACTCGTTGAAGGGGATCAAACGTAAAATTTTACAATCTCCGCTACGATTCGTTTGATGTCCGCATTGATGTGGTCCACTTCCACCCATATTTATTTTTATGAGACTTCCATTAATTAAATTGCAAGAGATAAATGGTAATATTGCCACATAATTTGTGTAATCTTAACCGTAATGAAAGTGCTGCGGTATAAATTGATAAACGTTGCTATATAAACAATAAAGTAAATGGTTGAACGTCTCCTAATTTCATTGTTTTTGTTTTGGTGAGGTCAACAAACTAATAATACATATACTTTAGTATTAGTCATGCAGTTTGGAAAAATATGATACTATATTCCAAACATCAACATCCAACAATGCTGTTCAAAATATAAACCCTAGTGTGAGTTGAAACTACACGAGTTCCTTGAGTAATCTGTTTAGTACATAAATATAATTAATTCAGTATACACAAAAAGAATGTGGTTGCTAAAACAGTTTCTTCTTATACCAATTATATTAATCTTGTCTTATATCTAAATTGCTAAAACGTTATTAAAAAAGTAAAGATAAAGTTTCAAAAAGTAATTTTCTGGTGAGCTACGAAGCTGTGGGGATCTCAACTAGCGGGTCGTGTACCGCGCGACTA